CAGCAAAAAAAAGGTTAAAGACCATGCTGCAGCTTACACACAAGACCCTCTCAGGATGGGCCTGACCAGTCCCTCAGGCTTCCCATGTCCTGTGCTCCAACTAACAGGCACTTCAAAGTTCTAGTTACTGCTGGGCCACTCCTTCATCCAGACCATTTTGCCCCAATCACAGCAGGCACTGGGTCTATCTCTGCTCAGAAGACAGCAGGTAGTCAGCAATGTTTGCTAATTTGCTGCCTCACCCAGATGGAGTGCGTAAAGGAGACAAAAGAGAGAAAAGTCCAAAAAACATCTCTCCAGCCCAGTAAAGGAAGAGGAGGCTCTTGGGAAACAATAGGCAGAAAATTCTAAAAGTTCCAAGCAATTTCTTTCAGGAACTATAGGAAATACTCCAATTCTTTAGGGAGTATCTACAGGGCCAAACAAGAAAGGTCCCTGGAGCTGAATGGGAAGGTGAGGGAAGGAAAACAAGGCAATTATACTCCAGACTGTGAAAATTCGATGAAGTACAGAAATCTATCAGCCCTGTAACATTGCCACACACTGACAATGCCAACCACCAGCCTACCTACAACCATAATTAAGTTACTTGTGACTGAACCCAACTTCCAACAGTTTCAGCACTATTTGTACCTTATATTTAAAAAAAAAAAAAAACTTAATGCTATACTGAACTCATTTCCATAAAAATAAATAAATAAATAAATAAATAAATAAATAAATAAATAAATGCTACATTACCAGTTTTATAAATTACCTGAAAATCTAAATGTAGAATAATGTGACAGAATGTGACTCAGGGAAGATGGGGTGGTTACTGGAGTACCCGCTGAGTGAGTGGCACTTGAGCTGAGACTTAACACTTTGTATGCGGGCATTTTCCCGCCAAATCGCGTCGTAACAAAGAGGTCTCTATACCTGAGTTAAAGCGCTATGACGAGTTTACTCGTTTCCCACAAACAATGTGTTAACAGATGAGAAGGAACCAAGCAGGCATGAAGAGCTAGGAGGCAGTGTCCCAGACAAACAAATGCAAAGGTCCTGAGGCAAGAAGGCAGCCAGAGAGGCTGGACAAAATCAACAAAGAGAAAGACTGAAGATGCCAGGGACCAGGGACCAGAATGTGTAGACATAATGCATATTTATCCCTTCACAGGAGACCCCAGGCTCTGAGAATCAGAGTGAAAGCTGAGAAAACCCCAGATGTCCCTAGCAGTAAGGAGAGAAGCTGAGGAGACAGGCAGATGAGGCAACACAAGGACAATGTGGGCTCCCACAACTAAATAGGGACATCAATCAGAAAGGACCAAAGAGCAGGGTGATGGAGAAAATCAACAGCTTAGGCATTGGAAGGGTTCAAGTCAGGGAGGCTGGGGCAGGAGCAGGTTCTGTAATCCAACCCCAAATTATTCCCTTTTCACTCCTTTCCTGACCTACACTTCCTCAGTGTAGAGTCTGTATAGCAACTGATCTTAGCCACTGCTTATATGTGACATACTAGTGACACCTGAGGCTCCCTGACTTCTGGAGCAAAGATCACAGAAAATAAAACTGCCCACAAGTCCAGTTCCTCCATACCACTGATGACAAGACCCTCAATCAAGTACTGGGGAAGGGGACTGAGTCTACAAGTATTTCTAAGGGGTTCCCTCACCATCCAGGGGGAGGGTGTCAAGTGTAGCGAGTGAATTGCTAGGCTTGGAGATTGACAGATCAGAGTTTAAATTCTGTATATGTTGAATTATTCACTGTCTGTATTAGCTCTGCACAAAGTCACAATAGCCGCCTATTTCAAAAACCCTGTCTGAGAATTAAATGCAATCAAGCATGTTAAAGTCAGTGCCTAACACGTAGCAAAATAACCAATAAAGCTTCCGTTCTTTCCATTTATCGCACTGTTTGAGAGGGTTCAATTCAAACAGCCTGACAGTTCTACTACTTACTGTGTGACTTTGGGTAAGAAACTTTCAACTCTTAGCCTTAGCTTCTTAGTCAGTAAAATGGAAATAACATCACTTACTTCACATGGGTTTTGAAGAAATTAAGTGAAAAGGGTGTAAAGTGTCAAGCGCAGCTCCGGACACACAGCAACTTCAATAGCCATTACCTGTCATTACTGATGAATGTGACCAAGACGGGGAAGGGGCGGGGAAAGGAGGGGCAAGCCTTAAGGGTATGCCTGCCCTCTGGGGAACCACTCACCTGATGGTTCCAGATAGAGCCCTCTTTGCTTCGCTCATCAGGAGTCAGACGCACGTACTGGCTCGTGAGTATAGTGCTACCTTGGAAATCCCAGAGGGGCATGGAGCTGGAACCGACCCCTGTGGGTAGAGACAGGCAGAGACAGGCGCGTAAAAGGCCATGCCAGGAATGGCCTTGTCAGAGGCAGTAAACCCACAGAGCTGCCCTGCTCGGTAGCATGGGCACCCCCTTCCCCAACCCTATGCAGCCTCGCCCTGCACTCATTCCCGCCCCAGGCCTCACCTTGGTAGGGCTTGATAAGCGAGTGTTCCCGCTTGAGATGTTCACTGTTGCCATCAGTTATATCCGCAGTCACCGGCCCCAGCAACAGGAGAAGGAGTAGAGGTGTCGTGGGGCCAGGGCCGGGGCCGGGAAGCCCAGGCCTGCCCAGGCACCGCCGGCCCCAGCCCCAGCGCCAAATACAACCTTCCGCCGCCATTCTCCGTTTCTCTCGATCACTTCCGTTCTAGAACTTCCGCCTTCCGGGTGTCCTATCTAATGGCTTCCGGCCGGAAACCCTCCGATCCTAGTGTCACCGGAGAGTTAAAAGCAAAGCCTCGCAGCCGAGGGGACGACGGCTTTATTTGCTGAGCAGCCACCATCCTGGTCGAGTGCAATTCCATCTCCTCTGCGGCCCCGACGCACCTGTCGGCCAGCCTCAGCAACGAGGTGGCGAGCCAGAACCAATCATGAAACAGCACGTTAGGCTTGTGAGCCAATGGGGAGCACGAGGATGGTTTGAGTCCGCGACAGCACGAGGGTCTTCGGCGAAGCGTGGCATGCTGGAACTTGTAGTTTTGGTGGGCCGCTCCCGCGGGCTGGACAAATCAAGATTACAACGCCCTCATCCTCTGGCCACTGGTCGCGTCCCCGGAGTAACCTTCCCCATTCCAGGGGATAAGGGCTCTAAATTGAAGGCGGAGTCCTGAATTCCAATTCCCGCGCCGCCTCGGACTCACTGGGTGACCCCGGGTGAGTCGTTAACTGGCTCTGGCTTCATCCCCTCTAGGTTTACGCCTTTGAAGACTTAGAATTCCCACTGATTTGAGGACGTCCATTACTCCCAGCTCCTCAGCCCCAGTTGGGTGTACGCAAGAGGGCAGACCTGCACCCTGTCGCGGGACTCTGATAATGGTTGCGACGCTTATTGTGCCTGCCTGGTGCAGCCTGCCTGGTGCAGCCTGCCTGGTGCAGCCTGCCTGGTGCAGCCTGCCTGGTGCAGCCTGCCTGGTGCAGCAAGAAGTGTCCATGAGAAGTGCAGGAAAGCTGGCTGTGGACCGAAGGTTGAAAACTGGTGGTCCGCAGCCAAATAGAGCTCTGTTTTACCTGCTAATGCTATTTCAATAAATGATTTAACTACCGATATATTTAAATCAGGAGTCTTAAATTCACATTAGAAATCCAAATTTCCGGTTTCTCAGGAAAAATTGAGAGAGCCAACCACACTAAGCCCATGGGCTGCCTCCCTACAAATGCCTTCCTCTTCTAAGCTAGTGTACACACTGGCCACAAATTTACAGCACCTGTCTGACCCTTCTAGGCATTTGAATTAATAACCCCTATTATAGATCACAAGGTGGAATTGTTGGTTGTTTGCCTCTTTATTTTAAGAAGCTTCCCTTTTGAATGAATGAACTTATTCAGGGTTAAGTACTAAGACATCTTTTCTGGATCATATTTTTTAATGAGCTTTATTATTAAAGTAATAATTCATATATATATATATATATATGATATGGACATATGTACAAGAGTCCTCTGCCACTCTACTCCTCTCCCCAGGGGTATACCCTTCCAGAGATTTATCTCTATCCATACAAACAAGGACATGTAGATTCCACTAGACTTCCAGGAGGGTTGGGATTTTTGTCAGTTATGGTTGCTATTGAATCCCCAGCATCTAGAACAGTGCTTGGCACATAGGAAGTGATTAATAAGTCATTGGCGAAAGAATGAGTACTTGTTTTAGAACCTGGAATGGGGTCATGAAGAATGAGTAGTTTACTGGAAAGGGGACAGGCATTCCCAGGAGAGGGGACAGAAAATGCAAAAGCAGGAGTGATGCTTGAAAGCATAAGGAAGGCAAACAGTTTGGAATGGCTGAGAGGGTGAGCGAGAGTTTGGCTGAGGCCAGAACTTAAAGGGCCTTTCAACTCCCAGGTAAGGAACATCACCTTTTTCCAGAAGGTAATGGGATGGTTTTAAGCATGAGAGTCACAAATGTGGGTTTCTCTGGCTAAGGGGGGTGTTACCTTATCCCTGTAGAGAGGGGCCCAAACAGGAGTGGTGGGTGACTTTGAGATCTCTAAGTCCATACTTCAAGTAAGATGCAAGTCCTGTAGTGGGTACATGCATGTGTACGAAAGAGGCAAACTGAGGACGCTGGCTAAAAGGCCCACGTTCATCTGGGACTGGGCCAGGCTGTGAGGGCAGGGTGGCACTCTTCAGTTGACAGGGCTCTACTGTGGTGGGATTTATATGTGAGCAAGTGGAGTGTAAATGCACGTGTCTTTGGGCACAGATAAACCTGATCTGTGCCCCGGCCTGGGTGGGCAATCATGGGCACACATATGTGCCTATGTGTAGGTATGCCTGTCATATGTACCTGTCCACAGGACTGTGCAGATATATGACTGAACACCAGGTGGTCCTTACGAGGGAAAGCCTGTGTGTTTATGACATGCACACTTGAATGGTATGTGTGTGCATGACCATGCATGCAAGGTGTCCATCTGTTTTCACAGTGGGGCACATGCCTGGGAAGCATCTGGGAATAAAGGTAGTAAGTCACTGCATGGGCACGGCTGCCTGGGGGAGGGGTGCTGAGTATGCACAGGCCTGGCACACAGCAGATGTAAGATAAATGTGTGCTGAGTAAGGCCCACATGTGGATACTTGGTGTACATGTACACATGTCCATGGGAGCCCCTGCCAGGGTGTCCCAAAGGTGCCTAGATGTGTGAGCATGTACTTCTTGTGCCCAGACATGGCCATGGAGCTCCCTGGGCAGGGCCAGACCAGGCTGGGTTCCTCGCTGGGCACATAGAGGCCTCTGCTGTGTGTTGGTGCCTGTGTGGGGTGCTGCCAAAGTTGCGTTGGCAGCGTGTGTGCATGCATGAATGTGTGTGTACGTGTGTGTGTGTGTGTGTGTGTGTGTGTGTGTGTGTGTGTGTGTGCTTGTGTGTAGGAAGAGGCGTTCTCTCTCTTAAACCTTTCTTCTTTCTGTGGTTCGGTTTCTATAGAGACACTTCCTGTGGCAAAGAAAAGAGGTAGTGAGCTGGTGTTTCAGGATGTGAGGGCCTGCAGGAGCAGAGCCAGGCTCTCTCTGCTGCCTGCCCGCCACCCTGCAAGCTCTGGCCGGTGCTGCCCACAGTCCCCATGGTGGGCACCCCCCGTGGCGGGGACCGGTGAACAGCGGCGGCATGCCAGGGAAGCCCAAGCACCTGGGCGTCCCCAACGGGCGCATGGTGAGTGCTGGCTCCAGGCCAGGCCCATGAGGAGGGGTGGGCACACCCAGGGTGGAGCCCAGGAACATACCTGGCAGGGCTGGGCAAGAGCCTGCATGCTGCTAGCGGGCGGGAGAAGTTGGGTACAAACAGCAGCTGTGGGACCTGGTGCCCTTACTCCAAGACCCTCCAGATTGGCCTGCTGGGGACCCGGGGCGTTTCTGGGGATGAAACCAGAGCACAGTGGGCATGAGCTTCTTGTCCAGCCCACACTGCCCACTCTCCTGCTACTTTGGCACCATCTGGGGCTGCCTGTATCCTAGCATAGCAGGGACACCTGGCATGCTCCTTTTCCCCTGCTCAGCCCCATGGTGGTCCAAGCTCTCACACCGCATTTAACTTTAGCCCTCCCCTCCTCACCCATGTCCTGATGCCCAAGGTCAGGTAAGGGACAGCCCTCACTGGGTCACTGCCCTGCAGCTGAACCTGCTCCAGGGGCTTCCTGCCAAAATTAGTCCTTGGGCAGTCTGGGATGGGTTAGCAGGGTTAGGCCAAGTTGGTGCATCTTCTGTCTGTTCTATTCCTGGATTACCAGGAAGGGAGGGGTGGCTGGGCACTAGGATGCCCCTGGCTGCTGCTGCTGCTCCACCCCCTAAACCCTCTCCCTGTCTGCTTGGTCCCTGGGTCAGAGCTGTGCTTGGAAGGTCCAGCTTCTTTATTCATTCAACAGATGGTGCAGCCTGTGCTGGGCCTCCCTTCTCTCCCTAGGAAACCAGCCCACTTGGCAGGTCCCCACCCTCCCAACAACCCCAGGAAGATCAGACTATGTCCTAGCCTCCCACCTAACCTCCCACCTAGTGAGACAACCTAGTACTAGCCCAGCCTAGTACTGTGGGACAAAGCCAATAGGTCTAGGGAGACCTGGGTTTCAGTATCTGCTCTGTTGGCCCTTACTAAGGGGTCCTCTCTGACCCTCAGTTTCTTCCTCTGTAAAATGAGATTAGAACAGATCTCAAAATCTTATTGAGATGATTAAGTGAAATGGTGAATATGAGGCCCCTGACCCATTCATTATGTGTGTGGGGGTAAGCGGGGCCTCCATAAATGTCAGCCCAATTCCCTCCTTTCATGCTCAGCCCCTCTTCAAGGATCCCCTGCCTCACCAAGAAGCTGAGCCACCCCACTCCTCCCTCCTAATTCGCAAGATCTGTTTCCATCTCTCTCCTTCTTCCAGCATCTCTTTATGGCCCAGCCCCAGGCTAGCTGGGTGGGAGAGAGGCAGACCCCTCCAACCTGGTCCAGTCCCCACCTCACTGTCTCTACTGTCACCCTAACTGAAAGTTCAAGAACCCATGGGCCTACTCCAGAGGCATGTCACTTGGAGGCTAGCCCAAGGGGGACCATGCCCACTCCCACTCCCACACCCACCCCAGAGGGCAGCTGAGTGTACCAGGGACAGACCCAGCCTCTGCCCCTCCCACATCAACCATGGCTGCTCTACCCAAAGTCATTCAGGGCAGAGAGGGCACCAAAGCTCTGCCCCCAGTCCTGGAAAACCCACGGGCACCCTGCCTGGCTCCTCTCAGCAACCTGCACACACTGCTTTATCTTTGCCTTTCCTGGGCCTGTTCCGAATGCTCTGTGCCACCTCTGGGAATCCAGAGGGCCACAGATTGGCTGCTTGCTGGTCATTGGGAGCTTTCTGAGGCCATGCGCGGCTGAGAGATGGGGAGGGACGGACAGGCATTGGCGTTCGTAGCAGGGATGTGCATAGAGAGGCACCTGTGAGCCAGGCGTCTGGCTCCTTCCATGAATTACCTCTGGACAGAGGCTCAGAAAAGTAAACGACTTCCTGAGGGCAGCCAGCAAGTACAGGGGCCCACATTTGAACCCGGCTGGGCTGACTCAATGCCAGGGCTCCCCCACCTCCCTGAACTGGCTGACTCTGTCCTCCCCCACCTCCCTCTGCTGCCACCCCACCCGTTGTCATTCCCTGCAGAGGCACTTCATTTGTCAGCCTTGTCTTTCTGCCACTCAGCTTGTCAGGCAGTTGCAGTGAAACCTGTCACTTAGAGATGGCTCCCAGCTCCCCTCCCAGAGATGTCACACAGTCCCAACTGCCACTTCATTTGTTCACTCACTCATTCAATCAACAACCCCTCCTTAGGGCCTGCTCTGTGCCCGCCCTGTCCCAGGCCCTCAAGACCCAGGCCCATCACCCTGTCCCCTGACCTCAAGCGGCTCCCACTCTGGCAAGACATGAAAGACATGGGCACAAATACCAGAATAAAATTCAGGCGTGGGTAACAGTCACTGGTCAGGGATAGAGAACGCTCGAGAGGGATCTGGGGAAGGAGAACTAACCTCCCCGCTCATTTGGTGCCCTGCTGCATGTAAGATATCCTGAAAGGGTGTGCCAGCTGGAGGAGGGCATGGCCCGGGGAAAGGCCCAGATGTGGGGAAACACGGGATGGGCATTTATTGTGTCCTGTCACTCTCAGGAGGCCCAGTTCATCTTCCCCACCTAACAAGGAGACCTGCAAGGTAGAGCCCACTCTACCTCTGGTGGTCCAGCTCAGGGCCAGGTCCTGGGGAGGAGGGTGGCCTTACAAAGGGGCCAAGGCTGGGGTCATCTCCACATGCCTGGCCTAGGCCGAAGGGGCCAGGCTCCCTGGATTCTCTGTGGACATACCCAGAGAGGATCTCAGCGCCTCAGTTCTCTAAGCTGGGATGAAATGAGATGAAGGTACCGAGTGTCCAGCACAGAAGAGACTCAGTAAATCGGCCCTCCCTTTGAGATCTGACCTCTCCAGGGTCAGAGTTCAAGAGGAGCCCCTGGGCCCTTTACTCCCGCCTGACCTTGCCCACCTGTGGCCCAAGGGTTGAAGCCCTAGGCCTCCTAGCTCCACTGGGCCATCTCCTATCCACCCAGGGAGGGAGCTTAGCAGAGGGAAGACCTCAGGCTCCAGAGTCAGGCACACCTGGGTTCCAACTTCAGCTCAGCCATTTTCCAACTGTATGACTTATTTGGGTCTAGGTTTCCTCACCTGTGAGATGGAAGTAATAATAGCTGCCATACAGGATCAGGATGTGAGGATGGAGTGAGAACAAGGATGTGTGTGTGCTATCAGAGTGTGCTCAGTAAATGCTGGGCCACCTTCACCTTAGTATTTTCAGATACCAGCGGCTCCCCCAGGGCCCATTTCCTAAGGAAAAAGTATGGCAAACTGGGGCCAGACAGTGGGTCAGGGGTGTCACTGGCCACCACACCCTTCCTCATCCTCCCTTCCCCTTTTCTCCCATTCACTCACCACTTCTCCTCAGGCAAACCAGGGTGGGGCAAGGCCAGCCCTGTTCAGCACAACTTCCCCAGGTCTGGGAGCCTGGGCAGGTCAGAGCCTGGCCAGCGGCATCAGCATGAGGTCAGCGGAGCCCCTGACCACTGCATGCTTGCTGTTTTCACATACGGGCCTCCTCTGTCCTTCCCAGCAGCCCCAGCAGGTTGGGAATGCTGAGCCCATGCTACCCAGGGGGAAACAGGTCCAGAGAAGGAGAGTTACTTGCCCTGGAATAGTGGAACTGGAACTGGAGCCCCTCCCACCTCCGGATCTTGGTCTCTACCCCGTCTCAGCCCCAACCCCATTGATCAACAACCAGTGGGGCAGGAGGGGCTCAGGAAGGTGAATGCAGGCTGCAGAGATGGGGTGTTCAGTGGTGGGGCATCCCTGATGGGGGATGTGCCAAGGCCACCTACGAGGGCAGAGGAGTGCTGCTCAGGGCCCTGATGGCTGGTTGAGAGCACTGGGGCAAGGAGGGGTCTTTGTGGGAGGGAGTTCAGGTGGTTGCTCTCCTATAAACCAGGCCTGTCCTCTGGGAGCCACCAGACTGGCAGGGGAGAGAGGCCTAGACAAGCGCGGTAAACAGGGATATTTGGGATGGCTGGTGTTTGGGGGTGACTGATGTCAAAGAGATTGGAGCGCCGTTGGGTGGGGGAGCAGGAACAGATACCCAGGCAGAGGAAACAGCAAAGCAGGAAGCAGGAGTGTATAGGGGTGTGGGGAAAACATAAAAATTTGATAAAGTATAGGGTGGAAGTGAGGGGGAGGGAAAGAGGGGGACTGAAGGGGTTCATTAGTCGGGCCCAGGAAGAGCTTCAGCTACAACCCAGCACCAGGGCAGGGAGTGGGTCCCAGGGAGGACCTGGGAGCCAGCCCCCCTAAAGATACAGAAAGTCAATTCTACCTACTGCAAAGAATAAAACAAAATAGGAGTGTGAGCTGGGAACTAGGGGGCCAGTCAGGGGTTGTCACCTCTCTGGGGCCCTTGCCTGCCCCAGCTGCCATGGGGGCTCTGAGCAAGGGAGAGGGTGAGTCCCGGGTTGGAGGGCCGGCCAGAGAGAGGCCAGTGGGTGTGGGAGAAGGCAGGGCCAGGTGGCACCTGAGGAGGGGGAGGAGGCGGGGAGTCAGGATGGTTCCCGGAGACCTAGGAGGAGGGCATGGACAGACAGCAGCATGGTGGCTGGAAACGGCCTGCAGAGCAGCCTGGACAGGCAGGTGGGGGCATCAGGGGAGCTCCCAGGAAGGCAAAGAGCAGGCTGGAGGGGACTGTCAGCCTCGCACACCACAGCAGATTGGGACTTGATCCTGCAGCCTTGGGAGATGACTTGAAGGAAGCCATCAGATGGATGGGGGAAGAGCAGAGGCAGGGGGGCAAGGGCTGGGTGGGCCGGGACAAGGTGTGCTGAAACGGTTCCACACCCAGCCATGCCCTGTACAAACTTTCCCTCTTCTCAGCAACATCTTATCCCAGTGCTCCAAGTGGGCGACGAGGCTCAGGGAGGAACCCACTGTTATGAAACTAGAAAAGGGCAGGGCTGGGATTTGAATCTGGGTCTGACAGACCCTGACACCTGTGCTCTCCTCCATGGCAGGACTTGCAAATTTGAAAGAGGGAGCAGGGTCATACACCAACACTAATACAACAACAACAGTAATAGTAATGTTCCTTCAGTATTTACACATGGCAGATAGTCTTCTGAGTTTTATATATGTATACCGTATATATATTGGGGTGCCAAAAAAATGTATACAAGTGGCCACTTTGGCCAACATTGCTCAAGCAGTAGTTCGCCGTAATCAGAAGTGTCTCGCTTTGAGCACCTCTTGTAATTGCAGAAGTCAAACGTGACTTGTATTCACTCATCTTTTGTTATCAGTATACTTGTATATTGAATATTACAATTTTAATGCAGTTTTCCTTTCTTAAAATGTGTATACATATTTTGGGCACCCGCTGTTTATATATTTAACTTAATTACAGCAACCCTTTGAAGTCAAGCCCATTATTTGCCCCATTTGTATAGAGGAAGAAACTGAGGCACAGAGAGGTGAAGTACCATGTCCAAGGTCACACAGCACAGATTTGAACTCATGCAGTCCAGAGCAGTGCCTGCCTCCATAAGTAACACAAATGCATCAAATTGGCCCCAGGGACCTCTGGGGGGCAATCAGTGCCCCTTCTAGGCACTGGTTGCTATTCAATTCCAATCAAGGTTGCCATGCCAGAAGAAACTCAGGATAGCTGGGGCATTATAGTCATAAAGGGGAGACAGAAAGCTGGGGTGTTTTGTAAAACTACTGATTTTTAAATGTGGGAACCCTCTTTAAACTTAAAAAGAAGAAAACGAGGGCCAAGATATTAGTAATGTCCTACATATCTGCAGGCCTGCTCCTGTGTGTGACCTGAGTGCCCCAGGTGTGAGTGGAGAGCAGAGAGAGAGATGGCAGCCAGGAGGAGGCTTCGGGGGTGGGGGTGGGGGTGGTTGCAGACCTGTTTCTAGGGGGGATGAAAAGAAGGGAGGGTAGTGCAAGCTCCCATGACGACCTAGTGAAAATGTAGGAGGTGAGAGGGAGGGAAGAATTGGGAATGACTCAAGCCCTGGTGTTGGGAGCTCAGGTGATGGGAAGAAAGATGGAATGCAAGGAAGCTGGTTGGGCACCCTGCTGTGGTGGCAGCAGAGGTGTCTCCCATTTGGGACTGGATGAGTTTGAAGGGCTTGTGGGACATTTGTGGAGATGTTAGCAGGAAGTTAGCTATGTGGCTATGTGTGTTTGGACATGGGGAGATGTAGGTGGGAGATAGGGGCCAGGACAGAGTCAGGGAGAGGTAGGGGCCACCTTGTGTGGGTAGGAGATGACAAGGAAGCTGGAGGAGCTGCTAGGAAGGTGGGAAGACCAAGCAAGACTCATTTTGAAAGGAGGGTTTTTCTGTTTCACTAATAGTTGGGATTCCCAAAGAACTCAGATTGGGGGGGGGGGGTGGTAAGGGAGGAAGGGGAAGATGGAGTTGGCCTCAACAGCAATGCTACTCACAGTGTGGTCCATGGACCAGCAGTGTCACCTAGAAGCTTGTTAGCAATGGGGCATCTCGGGCCCCATCCTACTGAATCTGAGTCACTGGAGGTGGGTCCCTCGCAGTCATTCTAATGCACACTGAAGTTTGAGAACAACTGCTCTGTACTATAAAATAGTATCCTGTCCCACCCAAGGAGGGGTGGGACTCAAGGGAGACCCTGGGCCTCAAGAGGAAACAGTCATAATAAGGAGAGCATCAGCTACAGAGGTACCTCTCCATCCTCAAAGACAACAGCAAACATTGATATAGCGCTTCCCACATGCTGGCCACTGTTCCAGATGATGCAAATACTTTAAACTGATTTGGGCCTCACAACAGCCCCTATTATCATCAACCCCTCTTTCCAGATGGAGACAAGTAATTTGCCCCAAGTCACACAGCTAGTAAGTGGCAAAACAGGATTCAAAGTTTGTGCTCCTATCTGCCATGCTATATGTACACCTGGGCTCACCCAGCAGGCGCTGGAGGAAGAGGGAGCCAGGGGAGACTGGAGGATACCAGGCATAAGTCCCAGCACACAGGGATTGGCAGATGATGGAAGGGAGCTGGGGACAGCCTCAGCAAAACCTTGAGCAAGAAGTGACCTGGCTGGGAATGCCCAGCACGGTCCTCCAGGCAGAGGAGAACACAGCTCCAGTCCTGGGGGCTAGGGCCGGAACGGTCTTTGAAAATCCCCCCTTGGGCTCTACTCTGATTTTCTACCTCGGGTCTCTTGTAGGTTCTGGCTGTCTCAGATGGAGGTAAGTGACAGAGTGTATGGAGGAAGTCTGGCTGGGGGCGGTGTGGATGTGGAAATGGGGTGGGGATACCCTTGCTAATTGCTATCTTTCCACGGAAATTATCCGCAGATGGGGTTGGGCCAAGGGCTGGAGAAAGCCGAAAGGCTCACCTCCGCTTGTCTATCCCCCTGCAGAGCTGAGCAGCACAGCAAGGCCCCAGGGCCAGGGCGAGGGCCGAGGCAGCTCCCTCAGCGTCCACAGTCTCCCCAGTGGCCCCAGCAGTCCCTTCTCCGCCGAGGAGCAGCCTGTGGCCAGCTGGGGCCTGTCCTTCGAGCGGCTGCTGCAGGACCCACTAGGCCTGGCTTACTTCACTGTGAGGCCTGGGGTGGGCTAGGGAGGGTGGAAGGCAGTAGCCACCGGGGGTGGGGACATGGGAGAGGGCATGGATGGAGCTTCAGGGTGGCCAGTGGGACTCCTCTGTCAGCTGCCTCTTCCAGCCTTTCTTGGGCACCCTCTTCCTCTTCTCCCAGCTGGGAACTTCGCTTCTCTCTGTCCTTGTCTCTACCATTCATTTTCTCTCTGTGCCTCTGGATCTGGCCCCATCTGTCTGGCTTGGCCTCTTGGCCCTGTGTCTCTATCCCAGTCTCTTTGACCACATCCACTGACTGGGTCTCTGTGCCTCTGACTGCCTCTCCCTCTTGCCCTCCTCCTCAGGAGTTCCTGAAGAAAGAGTTCAGTGCCGAGAACGTGACTTTCTGGAAGGCCTGCCAGCGCTTCCAGCAGATCCCTGCCAGCGACACCCAACAGGTAGCGGGAAGGAGGAGCTGAGGCAGAGAGGTGGGACCAGGGCTTGGGCGGTGACCCCGACCTTCTTCTGTCCCTCCTGCCCCAGCTAGCTCAGGAGGCCCGCAACATCTACCAGGAGTTCCTGTCCAGCCAGGCACTGAGCCCGGTGAACATCGACCGGCAGGCCTGGCTCGGAGAGGAGGTGCTGGCCGATCCCCGACCCGACATGTTCCGGGCACAGCAGCTTCAGGTGAGAGGGCGTGGCCTAGGAGGGGAGCTCAGTGGAGCAGAGGCGGGGCCAGATCCAGGGACACAGCCTGAACGGCGTGGGGTGGAGTGGGGAAGGGGATAAATTTGGATGTGGGCATCGAGCCAAATAAATGCGGGGACAGGGCGCGGTCAGAGGTAGATACCAGAAGCTGCCGTGAAGAAAGGGCCAGGGACGGGGCGGAGCCGAGATATAGGAGGTGCCTGGGCTCTGGAGGTCGGGGTAAAGCCCTAGGTTGGGGACCGGCCAACCCCGGGGGCCCGGCATGTGACGCCGGCTTACCGCCCTGGCGTCCGTTCCCGCAGATCTTCAACTTGATGAAGTTCGACAGCTATGCACGCTTTGTCAAGTCGCCGCTGTACCGCGAGTGCCTCCTGGCGGAGGCGGAGGGACGCTCCCTGCCGGAACCTGGCTTCTCGCGCCTCTGCAGCCCAGATGCCACCAGAAAGGTGCGGGCTAGGGGATGTGGGCAGCAGGGGGCCCGGTGCAGATTTGCGAAGGTTGCCTACCGTCTGTGTGCGGGCTAGGGCCCAGACTCGTGCCAGCGTCTTCCTTGTACCTGCAGAAGCCGAAGCTGAAGCCCGGGAAGTCGCTGCCTCTGGGTGTGGAGGAGTTGGGGCAGCTGCCGCCGGCTGAGGGCCCTGGGGGCCGCCAGCTCCGCAAGTCCTTCCGCAGGGGTGAGGGCGGGAGCTGGCCTCAAAGCAGAGTCGGGGCGGGAGTTTGGACAAGCCTTGAGAACTCCCTCTTCCTCCTATTTGTGCCACAGCCTATAAATCTGTGATAACCGAAATAAATGCAGGTACCTGTGTCCACCACGTTGCCCCGGTGGTTCGGGTCCCAGGCTAGACCCCAGAAGTTTGGGAAGCCCCCTCAGTAGCAATGTTTGTAGGAACCCAAACCATGTTAGATGCATGCAGGAGAGCTCCAACAGGGCCCACCGGCTGGGGAGAGGCCTCAACGTAGGGGGGCGGGGGGGGGGCCTGTCCTGTTCATTGCTGTTCATTGCGCCCTCTCTCGTAGAACTAGCGGGCACCGCGGCAAATTCGGCCTTGCGACGAGAGTCCCAGGGCTCCCTCAACTCCTCCGCCAGTCTGGACCTCGGCTTCCTTGCCTTTGTCAGCAGCAAATCTGAGGTGAGCCCACTGCTGGGAGAGACGAAGTGTGGGCTATGGCCACTACTCAGGCCCCTTTGTGTGCCTGCCGCTATCATCCCCAGTCACTGTTCCCACTCTCCTGCCTCCTTACTCCTCACAGTCAATCCCTCAGCCTCCTGCCTTTCTTCCTGTACTTATCACATTGTCTCCATGCATGTCATGAGCGCACATCCTCTTTAGCTGAGGTGTATGCACATGTGGGTGCTCAGGTGTACACAGTGCCTATGTGGGGGTCAGTAGGTGGACCTGCCTCTGGGTGCCCATGTGCCTGGGTGAGCACACATGTGTTTCTGTAGAAGGACTACAGGTGTGCTCTTGGACGTGTGTGTACATGTGTGCATGTGTGTGCCCCAGTGAGCTTACCTATCTGTGCACACATGACCTCCCTCCACACCTGCCCTGAATCAGAGCCACCGGAAGAGCCTTGGGAGCTCAGAAGGTGAGAACGAAAGCCGGCTAGGGAAGTACTGCTGCGTGTACCTGCCCGATGGCACCGCTTCCTTGGCCCTGGCCCGACCTGGCCTCACCATCCGAGCCATGCTGGCAGGCATCTGTGAGAAACGTGGCCTCTCTCTACCTGACATCAAGGTCTATCTGGTGGGCAACGAGCAGGTGCGAACCTGGCCTGGTCCCCAACTCTAACTCCCTTCCTGATCCTGATCCCAATCCTATTCCTATCTGTGCTCAGCTATGAGCTCAACCCCAATTCCATTCCTAATGTGGACCAACCCTAATTCCAACTCCATCCCCTATTCTCACCCCTTTCCTAACTCCACTCCCTCCCCGCATGCCCAACTCCAAATCAACGCAGCACCAACTCTTAACTGAAACTCACATATCCACTCTTAACCGCCAAAAATCCTATCCCCACCCCACTCCCATCCTGGTATCCAGCTTCACCCATCATCCTCACTGTGATGATCCCTGGGAGGTAGAATAGGGAGAACCCCTGCTGGAGCTGGGTTTTCCCCCATCATTCCAAACTGACTGCCCATCCCTGAAATGACCATTTGGGGGAGCCCTCACCTCCTCTGCCACCAGGAGCACCCAACTGCAACTAACCTCTGAGAAACTTTCCCTTAGGTGCAAACCTGCATAGCTTTAACAAGGAGTCACGGGAAAACTCACTTTAAATTAAACCACCCAGTAAGGGGGGTCTAAAGAAGGATGCATCCCAGAAGACCCAACACGATTTCATTCACCCAGTAGACAAGTCCTAAGGCCCTGCCAGGTGGGTAGGCAGAGGGACCTGGGCCTAAGCGCTGTCCCCCAGCTCTACCAGCTAGAGATGAGCCAGGCGGAATGTGATCAGGGAGGAGGAGTTGAATCACCAGAGAGTTTCTGGGGCACGGTAGGCATTTCTGGTTGGTCCCAGGAAGGCTTCCTAGAAGAAGCAGCAGTTAACAAGGATAAGGAGGAGTTTGCCTGTCAGAGCTGTGCGGGGAGGACATTCCAGGCAGAGGGAAGAGCTTAAGCAAGGCCTGAGGCGGGTAAGAGTGCAGGTGTGTTCAGGGGCCTGGAACATGGGAGTATGAGGGCAGCAGTGGAAGAGCTCTGCCCACTCTCTCAGGCCTCCCAGGCAGCCTCCATAGCCCAGATGGGCTTTCATGTTTACTAAATATAACTTCACCACCCACACCCCAGCTGTCCCTGCAGCACAACACAGTCCTATGGCAGGGGAGCCTCGGGCTGGTGCAGGCAGCAGAGCCTCTGGGGGCAGTAATCACTACAGCTACTGTTTATGCACCTACTATGTGTCAGGCACTTCCTATCCTGCTGTTCTCACAGTGATCTTGGGGGAACAGCCCTTTTTGCACTGAGGAGACAAGAAGTGTCCCTAGTAGGTGGGGTTGGAAAGAAGTGGACAAGTGTCCAAAAAGGGACAAGGCCTGGGTGGCTGACCAAAGGTGGATGGTGAGGGAAGAATTCATCTAGTTAGTCTGGGTTTCGCATGCCATAGGGACAAGGGACAGCTCTCCAGGAGGCAGATCCTGCCCTGGCCCAGGAAGAGGTGCCCTGTGATCCAGGACCTAAGCCTTCCCCTTTGCCCAAGCAACCCCATTACCATTCCGTGCCCATCCCACACCCATGTTTCCCATAACTGCTCCTTTTGCAAGTCTGTCTAGCATTTTTGCCACCCTTCTCCCTGGCCTTGGCCATGCCAGGCTCTGACTTCATCCTGGTCTCTACCCCATTCTCATTGCTACTGCTCAGCTGCCCATCGACCCCTCCCTCTGACCCTTAGGGCGGCCAATGAGGAAGTGAGAGTGGTACCCTCCGACAGCAGGGATAGCTAGGGGTGGGGGGAGGGACTCAGACACTGCCTGGCGTCTGCAGAAGGCCCTGGTACTGGATCAGGACTGCACAGTGCTGGCGGACCAGGAAGTGCGGCTGGAGAACAGGATCACCTTCGAGTGAGTGCCCGCACTCCAGGCTTGGGTCGGGGTCTTGTTCAAGCTACTGTTCTCCCCTGCAGGTCCCACCCCTTGTGCTAACCCCGCCCCATGGGCTAAGGCCTCACAGCCAGCTGGCACTTCTCGCCAGTTTAGACTCTGCCGCCTCTGGGGCTGGCATGGGTGGGTTGGGGAAGAGGTGGGGTCCGCTCTCCGCCCTTCGGCAGCCCAAGGATTCCACGCAGGCTCGAGTTGGCTGCACTGCAGCGCGTCGTGCGGATCTCCGCCAAACCCACCAAACGGGTACAGGAGGCGCTACAGCCTATCCTGGCGAAGCATGGCCTGAGTCCGCAACAGGTGGCGCTGCGCCGGGTGAGTCGCGGGGCGGCAGGGCTTGAACGGGTGGGGAGGCGGGGAGCCGGGGAGCTGGCTGCCTGTCCTGCGGGCTGCTGACCTGTGCCTGCAGCCAGGTGAGCAGCAGCTGCTGGATCTAGAGAAGCTAGTGAGCTCGGTGGCGGCCCAGAGACTGGTTTTGCACACCCTCCCAGGTAGGGGATCTTGGCCCTGGTCTTTGTCCCTGGGGACGGCTCTGGACTAAGGGGGTTCAGGTAGGAAGCAAACACTGAAAGGTGGCGCTCTCTGCCGCAGGCGCGAAGATTTCAGAAGCCAGTGACACATCCCCGTGCTGTAGCCAGGTGAGCGAGAGGCGGGCGCCCTCTTCTGCACGCTGTCCCCCCCGCCCCCCCGCCCGTTGTGGCTCTGACCCCACGTTCTCTCAGGGAGGCCCACCTAGAACCCGGGACAAGGCCACCCATCCCCCTCCACTGCCCCTCAACTCGCTGGCCGAGGCGCCCAGTAGTGTCATTGGGAAGCGACAGACCTGTGACATTGAAGGTACATTGGGAATGGTAGGGACTAGAGACCAGAGGGGGTGGGACCAGACTGGATGCCAATGGGGGTAAGACAGGAGGGCGGGGCGCCACTGGGGTTGGGGAACCAGTGGGGGTGGGAGGGGGCGTTGGTGCTGGGATCAGGGAGGTGTGGCAATAACGTGAGCTGCAGAACTGTGGTGGGCTAGTGTGGGCAGGTCTGTGCAGGAGGGCGCCCTGACTCTGTGGTCACCCTCAGGCCTGGTAGAGCTGCTGAACCGGGTGCAAAGCAGCGGGGCTCACGACCAAAGGGGCCTTCTGCGCAAAGAGGACCTGGTGCTTCCAGAATTTCTGCAGCTGCCTGCCCAAGGGTCCACCTCCCAGAAGGCCCCACCACAGACTGAATCATCAGCCCATCCCAAAGGGGGCCCCTCAGACTCTACTGCCCACTCGGTCCTCTGACAGCTGTCCAACAGCTCAGGCTGGCTGCATGGCACCTGGCGGGCCGAGCATGCAATAGGCCCGCTCTGCATGCCCTGTCTGTGCCATGAGTGTCTCTGGCCCCTTCCTGCCACGGGCAGGCCCGTAGGAAGAGCCAGGATGGGGTGGAGAGGGGCTCAGAGTAGCCACACCCCACAGCTGCCACCACTTGGTCCCTCACAGGCTTACCCACCCATCCCTTGCAGCCAGGCCAGTAGGTGAAGGTGGGCCTCCCCATTCTTCCCTGTGTAGGCATGCCCAACACAGAGGGGTGGCGTTGGCAGTGCCAGCCTCCCCACCCTGTGCCAAGCCTCATCAGGGAGCAGGAGGAGGGGCCAGCCCCTCCTCAGGGAACAGGTATGAGTAAAGCCTGGGGGTCCAGGTGAGCAGCCCCTTCCTCTACCCACTGGACTCTACCAGATATACAGATTTTGCATTTGGTTTGGGGCAGCTGGGTTTGTCCTGGATGTATGACATTGTTATTATAATAATTAATATTCTGCCATGTGGGTGTTCCTTGTGTACCCTGTATCCCCCCTGCCCCCCTTCCCTCTCCCCCCAAAACCGCACTGCCTCTGTCACCAAGTTCACAGTACCCAGAAGCTCTTGGGGACCTCAGGATGTATCCTTTGACTTCCTGTTATCAGAACCTCTCTTCCTGACTGCACAGAGCATGGGGTGTGAGTGTGTATGTGTGTGTGTGTGGGGGGGGAAGACCCCTCTGGGGAGCTGCGCTTCTGCCAGGTGTCATCATGCTGTTCTTCAGTCTCTGATCTGAGTAGTGCCTGGTTGCTGTTTTCTGTTTCTTTTGTGGACTGAGTGAGTCTCTAGCCGCAGTTCCTTTGGAGGCACCGAAGGCCTTGTTGGGGACACTGGGTGTTGTGGTAAGGGCAGGTTCTGCCACTTGCCTTCTTTGGCTGGGTGGTCTTCCCTGTCTCCCATCAGCCAGGGAAACCTCACACAGGGAGGGGCAGCAGGAAAGACCTCCCAGAATGAGGGCCCCAGCCTGCAGGCAGAGAAGCCAGACTCTGTCCTGGTGCTTTCACAGAGGAAGCCAAGGGGAGACAGGAGCCTGGAGAAGGAATCTGGGAAGTGAGTGGCCCTCCTGACCCCCTCAAACAGGCTGAGCTCTCATCCCCACTCCAGCTCTTTGCACTTGCTCTCCCCTCCACCAGGATCTCCCCACACTCACCCTCATCATATAACTGGTTCCTCATCCTTGAAATTTCTGGGAGAGATCCATGGGGTTTGCTGGCCCACCGTGCCTTTCTCTAGAAGTTGAAGCCAAGCCTTCCTGAGAGAAGGGGCTTCAGCTCTCTGCTCTCTCAGTCTGTGTTTAACTGTGTTGACCTAACCCCTGGCTGCTGGCGTGAACTCATGCCCAGACCCAACCAATCAGTTTGTTTCAGGGATGGTCCTCTCACCCAATCAGAATCCCAATCCTGGTCATTACCTATCATTTCCTGGGGATTTGCAGAAAGGACCTGCAGGAAGAGAACCTGCATGTGAATGAGGGCAACACAGGACTGAGAGATGGAAGGAGATTCCTGATAAAATTATCTAAACACCTAAATTCACATATGCCCGAAGTCCTAGACTTCCTCGTTAGGCAAGCCAATACACTTTTCCCATGTGTGTGAACTTGTTACTCTGTATTGGGTTTCTAAGATCTGCACCCACAAAAGCCCTGCTTCATTGAAGACTTTGGCTTAAACATCTCAGAGGAGCCTTCCCTGGTCACTTTGTGCTGTGACCTAAATGTGTGTATCCCACCACACTCGTGTTCAAATCCAGACCCCCAAGGTGATGGTGTTAGGTGGTGGGGCTAGGGGGAGGTGATTAGGACATGAGGGGAGAGCCCTCATGAATGGGATTAGTGCCCTTATAGAAGGAGGAGCTCCCTCACTCCTCCCACCATGTGAGGACACAACGAGAAGATGTCCCTCTCATCTACAACCTGAAGAGCGCTCCCATCAGCCCCCAACCACTCTGGCAACCTGATCTTGGGCTTCCAGCCTGTAGAACTGTGAGAAATCCGCTTCTCTGGTTTATAAGCCACCCAGTCTCTGATATTTTTATTGTAGCAGCCCAAACGGACTATGACACCCTATATAAAGTGCTCCCCAATTTTGTTCTCTATCAGTCTATCCAGTGTTTTTTCTTCACAACACTCAGCCCACTATGTAATGACCTTGTTTCTCATTGCTGACAATATGATATATGTGTCCTGCTGGCAGGGACCTCATCTCTCTTAGTCACTTCTGTGTCTCCTTGGCCTAGTGGGCTGACAAATGACGCTGCAGCCTCACATAGACCCAGTAAAGGCTGCAGGAACAGCAGGGCAGTGGGGGTCCTGGACAGGGGACTGCATAGCACCAGGGCCACAGTCTGTTGCCAGAGATGGGGGCAGGTGAGAGGCAAGCCCATGTCCCTCCCGTGGTCAGCTGCAGAAACCCTGAGCCCTGGGACTTCTGCCTGTGGGAGGAGACACCCTTCCATCCCCGGATAGAGAAGCGGGGACACCAGGTTAGAGATGGATTATCTTCTCAAAGTTGGCATATCCTGCAGGCCAAGCCCACCCTTCTGCAGACCCCCTAGTGATGATGCCTGTTGTTCTTAGGAACCAAGGAGATTGTCTCATGAGAAAGGGGTTCATGGGTCAGGTGAAAGAGCCTCCCTGAAGGTCAGCCCCTATAGGAGGAGGAATTCACATCTACTAAGGTCCCTAAGTTAGCCACGCTCCATTCTTTATCTCATTTTCTCACAACAAAACAGCCTGGTGGGGATGAACCCACCACTGCAGGAGGGGAAATGACCAGCCCAGGATACTGCAAGGAATTGTCCCTGGAACTTAACCAGCACTTAGGTTGTCTGACGTGGTGACACACCCCAGGGAGGGCCCAGATGCTGTAGCAACCCCCATGGGGAGCCAGGGCCCTTCCATGGAGGGCACATTGATATAGCTTCTCTGGGGGGGCAGTTTGGGAGTTTCTGCTAAAAATTAAAAACACACCTCATGTGACCCCAGCAGTGCCGCTAGAGAGTCACTCATTCCCAGACAGGAAGAGACCTATTCCTGCAAGGTTGTCTATGACCCAAATACTGGCAAACAGCCAAATGTGGATGGGGGTGGGAAGTCAGGTAACACAACAGGTGGTGTTGTGTCCATGCTCTGCAATGTCACATAGCAGGTAAAGAACTGGGTACAGTGTGTCCTGATGTGGAAAGTTCTCCAAGATGTGTTATTATTAGGTTAAAAAAGAAAAGCAGGGCAATTCATGAAATCTTTAAATAAACCACAAACACGCAGGCACTTATGAAGGTACAGAAAAGGGAGAGAATGTTCCAGAAGGATACATGCCAAACTGCCAGGCAGATTGGGAGGGCACCAGGATTGGAGATAGTGGTCAAAGGAGACTTTCACCTTAGCTTTACTTTTTTAAAAGGATGAGGTTAAAAATCATCATAACACAACTTCCCAAGGCCACTTAATTGTTACTGCTGGCCCGCCATCTCTTTCTCCAGAAGTAGAGCCCAACTCTTCCTTTGGGGACTTCAGCCCACCACGCCCGGAGGCCCGTTTTGGCTGGCTGGGTGTGTCCCTCTGCCACAGTCCTCTCTATGAGCCCCTCCTCCCACATGTCCGCTGCAGCAGCCCTGGGCTGAGGGAAACCTGGTCCCCTCTTTCCGGTTTCTATGTTCCCAGAACCCCTTGAGGCCCTGGGTCCTCCATCCCAGCCTGTGTTCCAAAGCCACTGCATGAGCTAGACTCCTAGGTGGTCGGGAAAGTTCGCAGAACTGCTTGCCCTCATCCCACCAGGTAGAAAGCCTAGAGGGGTGTTGGCCTGTATACCCAGCACCCAGCGGGAAGGAAGGGAGAGACCACACATTTGCTGGCCGCTCTGCAACCTCCAGCACCCCCATCTTACAGAAGACACAGGCTGAGCCAGCAGGTGTGGCTTCGTTGAGGACACCTGGGACCTAAACCCATGTGGCTCCAAGCCTCTGAGAGAGAATTTTGTCCCATCTCTTGTCCCCAACCTCACTTAGTGGCCTTGGGGCTGGGGAAGGGGATGATATAAAATGGGCACGGGGCCAGCATGGGGCTCACAGCGACCTGGGTTCTGGGCCAGGGTCGGGGCAGGTAGAGGCACGGACTGCTCACCTGGAGCCCACTAAAAGTGCTGATGCAGCCATGGGTTGGTGCTCCCTAGCAGCCACCCCCGCCCCTAGAGTGAGCACAAGGTGCACCCCACAGGGGCCCTGGCCTGGTGGTCAGGTGACTGACTTCCGGGGGGATTAGAGGCTGGAATTCAGCTTCCACAAGGAAACACAGACTAGGATAGGGAGGAACAGCCACGGTTGGTTACATTAAATCAGATACAGGCCCGGCTGGGCCCAGACCCCTACAGCTGCACAACCACCGGAGGTGCCATTCATGTCCCTGTTAGTCCTAGGGGGTCCAAGAAGATCTGGGGACATTAATGTGTATGTGTCCTGTGGGTCCCGCAGGGTTGGGGCAAAGGGTGCTCTGTGGCCATCTCAGATCCTGTCTCCAGAGAACTGGCTTGGGGTAGAGCAGAAGCAGAAGCCAAGGAAATCCACCATAGAACCAGTGTACCCCTTCCAGACTAGCCCAGGGTGCCAGCTGTCAGTATGAAGTCCTGGCCAGCTGAGATGGGTGAGGAGGGGTAACCCTACTAGCCAATGAGGCTACTATCTTCCTGCCCAGGTGCTGAGGGGCGGAAGGAACCCAGCACCCAGACTCAGAATCCAGAACGTGGAGTGTGGAACAGGAGCTTGGAGCCTGGAGTACAAAGCCTAGAACTGGAGTCTAAAGCCCGGACTCAGAATCCAGAGCTTAGACCTGAGAACTTACAGGCAGGACCTAGAGCTCCCTGTTACAGGCCACGACCAGAGTGGGGACCCCAGAAGCTGGAGCCCAGGACCTAAGTCTAAAGCCAGACCTCAGAGTTTCAGGTCTGGGACCTAGCAGGCAGAGCCTGGGACTGCCATCTGGGAACATGCTGTCCACAGCCTCACGCTCAGGCCTGGTCCCCTGGGCCAGCGTGACAAGCACGGGGCTGAAGCAACATGAGGAAGGGAACTGCAGGGGAAGAGGTGATTTCTGACAAAAGCCTGAAGCAGCCTCAGCTCTTTTGGCCACAGACTTTGGCCTTATCAGTCAATGTGTGACCAGTGCCTGGTCCACCAGGATTAATCATTACCCAGGGCACTTATCACCCAAACAATCACAGGACATTCTCAGGTCAGCTGCCCTTGCCCTGCCCCACCGGACCTAATGTAGTCTTGGAAAATGGGGCTTGGATGGGACCATGTCTCAGAGCCTTGCCTGCTCTGTGCCAGCGCCTCAGATTCAAGTCCAGGCTCTCCAAGAGAGGACAAAGTCAAGAGGGCCAGGAGAGGAATTGCTCTGTTCCCCAAAGGGAAGGGCAAGTGGCCCTTGCTCTGTCACCCAGCCCTCAGGTCAGAAGGGATGCCTTGACCACAGATCAAAGAAGATGTGTCCATGTGTGTGCAGTGCACACCATCTGTGTCCGTGTGCAACCCATGCTGGCCTGACTGCTGGAACGGAATGCTCGCTGCCGTATTCCCAACGTACAGTAGCACCATGCTGACTCAGTGGGGCTTATGTATTGGGTGAATAAATAAACACGGTGGTAAGAAGAGGCAGTTCTCAAACTGTGTTGATGAGGAACTCTGCTATGGGATTACACTGCTCATTAGCCAGATCCCAAAAATATCCAGTTCCTGGACGGATGACCTGGAGTGTTAGCTTCTCCTCCCTTGATTGTCCTCAAACTTTAGGTCCTGCAGAAAACTGTATATATTTAAGGAGCAATGGATCTTAGTGGAAAATTGCAGAGACAGCTGGCTGTGCCCGCCTCCACAGCTTGCTCCGTTCCTGGACTTGCACACTTGTTCTTGGCATCGTATCTACTCCGGTCAGCAGCCATGCTGCTCCTGGGAAAATCGATTTCGTTGGTGTGATGAAATTCAGTATCTGTCAGCCTGTCACATTCACACTGGCCATGATGTCTGCGCTTCCCACTCATAGCAAGCTGCCTCCTCCCCCAGCACGCTCCCGTCACTAAATCCGCTCTGCTCTCACAATAGCTGCCCTCTCCACAGACATAGCTCACTAGGGTGTCTCTCAAAATGTGGCGACTCCGACTTCTGGACTACACTTTTCTGTTCTTCCTCCTGGTCCCAGCTGCAGGCGGGGATCGCAGTTTCCTTTGCTGGCCCCTCTTCCTCTGGCCTCCCAGAAATGTGGGGATTCCTCTGGGCTCAGCCCTGGGCCCCAGCTCTTCTCAGTGTGCATACTCTCCCTGAAGGGGTGCATTCACAGGGGGAGCCAAGTCACTTTGAGTCCCCAGGCTGTGACAGATGCTGTCTTTATATTGAGAGGCTAGCAGGGGCAGGTTTTAAAAGGGAGAGGGGTGACATGATGAGAACTGCAAAGCTGGCTGGCTGCTTTGTTGGAGACTGGATTGTAAGGAGCGAGGGCAGACCAGGGAGAGCACTTGGGAGGCTATTGCAATAACCCAGGTGAGAGAGGGTGGCCCAGAGCTCCTGGAGAAGGAAAATCAGGAGAATTGGGTGGTGGATTGGAGATGAGGAGGTGGAGGAGGAGGTTTCAAGATGCCTACTCCATTTCCAGCTCGATGGACCACATGCTGCTACCTGGGGCCGGGATAAGCAAGAGGCCCCATGAGGGGTAAGGAGCATGTTGTGTGCTTCAGACTCACAGATGCAACTGCTCGCACCAGAGGCCCCTCAGACACCACAGTACAGACCGATCTTGGCATCTTCCCCCCAGGACAACAACTCCTCCTGGAAGCCTTTACTCAAAGTGAGACACCACCAATCACCCAGGCTCCAGGTCTAGAGATCTGGGGGGGGGGGGGGGGGGGGGCTGTGGCCAGAGTGCACATGACTAAATAGGGCAGGAGTCACCCTTCAGGGGGAAACACAGAATCTGTCATAGACAGAGAGGAGGCAGGCCATGAGCAGGAAGGAGGTTGAAATGAGCAGAGGTGCTGAGAGGCTTGGGGCTGGAGTGCGGCCACCTTCTGTGCTGCTTTCAGGAGTTCCAGATGCAGCCCTGGTCAGTTCCCATGTGTTGGGGCTTTTGCTAGAGCTATAGCAGCCCCAGCCCACCCCCAGAATTTTGGGGAATATTTTGGATGTATAAGCCCACAGTATTTTGTAATGATATCTCTTGTGATGGATTTGATCAGTAACTGCCTTCTCCACTAACCCCTGAGCTCCATGACAGCAGAGAAGGGGGGCATCTAAACTGTCAAAGAGCATAACCTTATTGAAAAGGAGAAGCACCCTGGTTCACAAGGAGTGCCTTGGCTACGGCTGCTTCTGCGCAGGGTCTGAGTAGGACAGGGGAGTGTGTTGGGAAGAGGGCCTGCGATCTGGAGTCTCTGGACCCAATGTGGGGGGTCAGGTGCTCCTGGGTTGGGGTGCTCAGGCTTAGACAGCCTCTGACCCATCCCTAATGTGACTTTAACAGGGCCTCTGAGCCTAAGGACAACTCCCACACAAGAACTCAGTAACGACTGCATTTCCCTAGCTTGAGGACGCCCCTCCACCCATGAATGAACCCCAACCTAGCCCAAATCACTCCCTCTAGGTTGAAGAGGTTCCTACATCAATTAGGGTTCATGACACAATGTGATGCAACCACATCTGTGCCAAGTGTCAAGACACAGGAGAAGGCTTAATGGCATATGAATAAAGAGCGAGATGCAGTATTTCATAGATAGTGAAATCCCAAGCAGGTTAAAAAGGCAGAGAGATCCCACCTCAATTCCAAATATATAAAAGAAACCGCAAAAAGGTCATTCTCAGGAACATTTAAGATCTTGCTTCACAGCATGTCATCAGTTTGGCTCAAATAAACTCATTAAAAATTTTTTTTTTAAAGAAAAGGCAGAGAGAAAAGGGCAAAATGTACTGTTCTAAATATCACAGCAATGTTTCTGAGAAGCAGGGTCGCTTTTATTTTCCTTTGCTATGAAAGGAGGCTTTTGTAGTAAGCACCAGGTGGCTGATTCCCTTCCTCAGTTTCCCAGAATCTCCCAAAACAAGCCATAAGACTATGAGGTGCGATGAAAAATATGGTGAATGTTTAAATTAAAAAAACAATTTATCACAGTAAAAGACACACTCCCATTAATCCCCCTCGCTTCGAACACACTTATCCCATCGTTCTTGCCACTTTCTGAAGCAGCTCTGGAAGTCCTCTGTCATTTAGTTGTGCTGTTATGGCTGCCTCAATGTCCTAAATCGATTCAAAGCATTTACCTTTTGACTTTGGGAAAGAGCCAGAAGTCACACAGTGCCAGATCCCGTGAATAAGGTGAATGAGGACACACCGTAATGTTTTTATTTGACAGAAATTGCCATACCAAAAGTGATGTGTGACACGGAGCCTTTCTGTTGTGTCAAAAACTATGGTGAATGCTGCTGCTGAGTGCCATCCAACAGAAAGGCAGGGATCTTCAAAACAGGAAGTGGCGGGCCAGCCGAGTGGCACGATGGTTAAGAACTGGCTTGGGACGCCAGAGGGCCCTGGTTCGGATCCCACATATGAGGGCCAGTGACGCTGCCCTCTACAGCTAAGATGCTGAACAACAGCTCAACCTGGAGCTGGGCTGCCGTGAGTCGCTGGCGACGGCGTAGGCTGCAGCCCCTGCTGCAGTGGGTTGCCATGGGCTACCGTGTGTAGCCAGCAGCCAGCGTGAGCGGCCGTCCAGAAGCCGGCGACTGATCTGCCTCGACCAGGAAGAGTGCAATGATGGTGCCAAGTTGGGCCAATGAAGCAAAGTCCTCCACAACTAGACTGAAGAACAAAAGGACAGCAACTTGTCTGTTCCCCTTCCCCCAATTCCCCAGCGCTATTCCCATCCCCCCAATTCCCCAATAAAAATCTTTGAAAAAGAAAAAACAGGAAGTGGCATGTGGAACCTTAGTAACAGTGTGTGACAAGTTTCAACTTGTTCGGTTCAGTCGGTCGGGTGAGAACTACGGTTGAGAGAAAGTGTGTTTTAAAGGGTGCCGTAAATCATCCTCCATCATGACAATGCTCCATGTCACACATGGCTTCTGGTATACGGCAATTTCTGTCAAATAAAAACGTTATGGTTTGTCCTCATCCACCTTACTCACCAGATCTGGCACTGTGCTACTTCTGGCTCTTCCCCAAAGTCAAAATGATTCAAAACATCGAGGCAGCCATGAAAGCACAACTAAAGATACTCACAAAAGAGGACTCTCAGAACTGCTTCAGAAAGTGGCAAGAATGATGGGATAAGTGTGTTGGAAGTGAGGGGGAGTATTTTGAGGGGGATTAATGGCAATGTGTCTTTTACTGTAATTTTTTTTTATATTTCAACATTCACCATATTGTTTGATCACACCTTGTATATGACTTATGGTCCTAAGCAGGGCACTTTTCATACTGAAGGGGGATGCTGGGCCAACAGTCATACCAGAACTTGGCCAGGAAAACCAGGACTTATGGTTACTCTACCAAATCAACCCCAGCCGCCACCCCCTTCTCTCCCCTGTGGGTTCTGTGGCCTAAACTGACATAGCCACGATGTGATGGACCTGGGATCCAAACCCAAGCTTCCCGTGTTCTCTGCTCTTAGTCACTTCGACAGAGTCCATTCTGAGCATTACACAGTGTACAACTCTACAGCACGCTGCAAATTAAGCACTAACTAGTTAACCTTTGTCACATTACAGAGGGAACTGTGCAGAAATGTCTACCTTCCTTGATGGAAAAAGGCTGGGTCTGTGTCACCCTAATAAAATACATTCAATGTTGAGTAGGACTGCAGCTCAGGGGACCCTGAGCAAACAGAGGGTAGCTGATGAGCCAAGAGGAGTTGTGGGCCTGAAACGGGACTGAGAATCTAGAGGAGATGGGGCCATTTAATGGCCAGGACACTTCAGCCATCCTGGAGACAGTGAAAAGGGCATGAGAGCCTGAAGAGCACAAACATACTGAGGGACTCTGCTCTAGACACAGAGTGAATCATTTATCTCATTGAATTCTATAGCTCAATGAAAAAGCTGAGCTAATTGCCATTTTATAGGTGAAGGGACTACAGCTCAGGGAGGTGAGATGACTGGCCTCAGAATCCCAGGCTGACTCAGGGATTGGACCATTGCTTGGACCAAGACAGAAACTGGCCTTGCCAATCTTGGCTCAGCATAGAGTAGAAACTCAACGAATGTGCTTAGAAATGGATGGACAGGCATATAGCCAGCTGGTGGCTAGGTGGATGGATGGATGGATGGATGGATGGATGGATGGATGGATGATGTTAGGTAGGTTAGTCAGACAGTTGCCAAACTGATCCTAAATGGAACCACCATTGCTGAATCTGATCAAACCATGACCCCTTAGTCTAAAGGAAGCTTCCGCCTCATCTCTCTGTGAACCTGGTCCCCAATTCAGGCTCCACCATCCTGTGAAAGGGAAACAAGCTTCTGAAAGGCTTCCTTAGACCCCTCTGGGTTTCATCAGCTTCCCAACCCACAAATCCAACAGTGATAAATTTCCTCCCCTCCCACTTCTCCCATCACCAATTCTACTGCCCAAGTATCCCTAGGATGCATCCTCTTCTCTCCATGCCTCCTGTTCCCACCTTGGTTCAGACCTCATCATCTCTCACCTGGACCACCTCATCAGCCTCTTAACTGGTCTCTGCTTTCAGACTTGTTCCCTGTGACACATCTCAATCCACATCCCCACCCCCCACACACCCCCAGAGGGACCATTGTAAAATGCACACGGGTCCTTCCAGGTCTGGCCAGGAGCTTCACATTCTGTTAGACTCACATCCTGGATCAATGGTCAGGCATTGGAGACACTCCAAGATTTCATGCTATGCAGCTTCTCCGGGCTTGTTTCCTGTTCCTTCCTTCATCACATACTCCTTCTCCTCCAAACACCCCCCCCCTTCACCCAAGACATACAGACCTACAGACACCACAGGACATTTGGGTCACTCCCTGGGGAGTCCTGTCATGCCAAGAATGAGGGGAAGGGGGCTGGCCGAGTAGCTCGTTGGTTAAGAGTTGGCTTGGGAGCGCAAGCTCTGAGCAGCAGGGCCACTGGTTTGGATCCCACATGGGTCAGTGACACTGCACCCTCTACAGCTAAGATGGTGAACAACAGGTCGACCTGGAGCTGGGCTGCCGTGAGTCGCCAGTGACTGTGTAAGCTGCAATGGGCTGCAGTGGGCTGCGGTCAGCTACCGTGAGTGGCCAGCAGCCAGCGTGAGCAGCCAGCAGCCGGCAGCTGGCATGAGCTGCCGTGAGCCGCTATGAGCGGCCGTCCAGTGGCCAACGACCGATCTGCCTCAGCCAGGAAGAGCACAATGATAATACCAACATGGGCCAGTGAAGCAACATCCTCCACAACTAGACTGAAGAACAAAAGGACAGCAACTTGTCTGGTCCCTTTCCTCAATTCCCCAGTGCTGTTCCCTCCCCCAATTCTCCAATAAAATCTTTTAAAAAAAAAATGAGGGGAAGGGACTGGAGCTATGGAATCTCTTTAGGGACCCTGGGAACAAGGTGCCTGAGTGGCTTCAGGGTCTCTGCCTGGGGGCAGGGAATGTTCCATGCCATCGCTGGATCTGGGTGGTGGTTCAGGCTGACTCTCTGTGTGGGGGAGGGGTAGCCTGACTACAGACTCCCCCTGCAGAGCTGACGATTAGCAATTAACTGGGAGGAATCTCAGGGGTGAGGTCAATCTGGGCACAGAGAGAGGGCAGCTAGGGTTTTAGGAACTTTGCCCTAGACCAGCGGGTATAAAGAGGAGGGTCCCAGCTCCTCTGGGACGTCCCTGAGCAGCTGAGCCGGAGCTGAAACACAGAGCCCCAAGGTGAGCCCAGGGCCTTCTCGTCCCAACCTCATCCCCTACTCTTAGTAAGAAATAGCCCATTACCCCAGTCTTCTCACTTCTGTCCTAACTGTGCCCCCACAACATCTCAGACCCAGCCCAGTCTAGCTCACTCCCCAAAGTAAAAAGGACTTATGCTCTTCCAGGGCTGGGAATTCAGCTTGACACACACCCCAACCCCACAGCCAAGAATCCTTGGGACAATGTTGGGGGTGGGGGTGGGGGACTGCTGAAGCAGACTGGAGCACTCCCACCCCAATAGCCAAGAGCTCCTGGGGCAGTTCGGGAGGGGGGGGGCTAAAGTAAGCCTGGGCTTCCCAGACTTGGGGACAGGGTGGGAGGCCCTCCTTACCTAAACCATTCCTGGTCTGAGCCTGATTCATAGGAGAAGGGCAGCAGGGTTTGTTTATTGTTGGGGGGTGGGGTGGGGGTTGGATGCGGAAAAAATTTCACTTGTGAGGGGAACCCAGGAAATTGAGATCCAGGCCAGTGGACCCTTCCCTGAGTTCGCGCCCAGCTGGCCCCGTGAGCAAGCAGGTGTCCATGGTTCCTCACCACTCAGGGCGGTCAAGACTCCTACATGGCCCAGCCCTCCGCTAGCATGTTCGCTGGCTCCCTCCAGCCACTGGGCATTCTCAGCTCCTCCCTGCACACGGCCTTTGCACATCTGTCCTTCCCCTTCTCTCCTTCCAGTAACTCCTACTGACCATTCTTTTCAGCTTGATTCCCTCTTTCCTCCTCTAAGAGCCCACCCGTCCATCACAGGCACCCATATCTGTCATTAGAACACTTGTCCCATTGTCATTTTCCATTTATTTAAGGGATTATTTCATTGACATCTGTCTTTGTACCATATTTTGAGCTTCCTGGGGGCAGGAGTTGTGTCTATATTTAGTCACCACTGACTGTACCCCAGCATCTAGCTCAGTGCCTGGAATAGAGTTGATGTTCGATAAATACTTGCTAAATGAATGAATGCCTGAACTCATCCTGAGCGCCTGAGTGTGCATCCCCGGGTGTGTGTGCGGTGGGGGGGAGGGGGGTTTCTATGGGTGTGTAGTTTAGGATTACATGCCATGAGTATTGGTGTAAGTGAGTAAGTATGGATGTGGGTGTGGGTGTGTGAGTGTGTGTGAGTTTCCAGGACACAAGAGTTGTCATTCAGTGTTGCTGCAGGCCCCACAGTGTGTGCCCAGGATGATGCCCTACGGAGAGAGGCTGGGGAGCCCTGCTGTCTCCCCACTCCCAGTCCGCGGGGGGCACATGATGCATGGGGCAGCCTTTGCCTATGTGCCCAGCCCTCAGGGTGAGTGTGCTCCCACCCCCAGACCCTGCTTGCCCTCCACTGCCCACATCCCGGGTGAGGCCTCCACCCCTCCGCCCACCCCCCTGCCTTCCCCCGGAACCTGAGGCCTCTGAGAACTCCTGACCAGCCTCCCTCCGCAGTCCTGCACAGGATCCCAGGAACCTCCGCCTATGCCTTCCCCAGCCTGGGCCCCATGGCCCTCGCCGAGCACAGCTGCTCCTTTGGGGAGGTTCTGGAGTTCCATGACCCCTTGCCTGCCAAGCTGGCCCTGGAGGAGGAGCAGAAGCCAGGTGGGCCTGGGTGGGGCGTGGCAGGGCATCAGCAGTCACTGTCCCAGCCCTCTGGCTACTGTGCTCACAGCTGTCCCATCTCCAGAGCCAGGACTGGCCCAGAAGCTGCCTCGGGCTGGCCTGACCCTCCTCAAGGTGCCATTGATGCTCGCTTTCCTCTATCTCTTCGTCTGCTCCCTGGATGTGCTCAGCTCAGCCTTCCAGCTGGCTGGAGGTAGGGCCAGGGGAGGGAGCTAGGGAAGGGTCCTTGAAGGGCCTCAGACAGCACTGGCTCATGCTTCCCAGGGAAGGTGGCTGGCGACATCTTCAAAGACAATGTCATCCTGTCCAACCCTGTGGCGGGGCTGGTGGTGGGCATCCTGGTGACTGTGCTGGTGCAGAGCTCCAGCACCTCCACGTCCATCATTGTCAGCATGGTCTCCTCCGGCTGTGAGTTGGCCCACCAGGGCCAGGGAAAGTGTGGGGAGCTGGGTGTGCTGGACAGGAGGACTGGGAGGGCATGTCAGGGCTGGGGGGCAGGGGGCAAGAATGGGGACAGGGGGCTAAGGGCAAAGGGCAGAGCTCTGGTGTCTCCCACTCTGTCCTCCAAGGCCTTGCCAAGGACTCTCAGCAAGGAGGGGTGCCCCAGGAGCTGGAAGGGTGGCAAATGGGGGGGGGGTAGGGCACAGCCCCAGCAAGGCTCACCTCCGTACCACCACACAGTTACTCATTCCACAGTTAGGGAAACAGAACCAAAGAAGTCAGAGAAACAGGACTTGCAGAAGATATTTATGTGATTTATTGCAAGGAATTGGCTTACATGATTGTGGGGCTGGCTAGGCATGCCCAGAGCTGGCAGGCAGGCCATGGGGAAGGGCGGGCCAGAACTCAGGCAGAAGCCCATGCTGCAGTGCACAGGTGGAATGTCTTCATCCTCAGGGAAGCTTCAGATGAGCTCGGATGGCCTTTTATCTCATTGGGTGAGGCCCACCCTGATTATTGAGGTTAATCTCCGTTACTTAAGGTCAGCTGGTTGTAGAGGTGAATCACACCTGCAAAACACCTTCATGACACCATCTAGATTATTGTTGGATTGAATAACTGGGTACAATAGCCTTGCCAAGCTGACACACGAAGCTGACCGTCACACTCATGTACACGTGTGCTCACACAAGTAAGACACACATTTGCATATAGGACACATGGCCTCATGTGTACACACCCACACACGTTCACATATGTGCATGTGCAGTGCATGTGCATTGGTTCACATGCATGCACATACATATAAACACACAGCATGTACCCACATGTACCTGTGACACTGAGGCATGCAGTCAGCAGCATGGCAGGAATGCCCGCTGGAGGCCCAGATGTTGAGTGGGTATAGAAGGAAGTGTTGTGGGAACAGGAACTGAGTGACCCAGTTAGTTAAGAGGTTCCCTCTTCTCCCAGTGCTGGAGGTGAGCTCTGCCATCCCCATCATCATGGGCTCCAACATCGGTACCTCAGTCACCAACACCATCGTGGCCCTGATGCAGGCAGGGGACAGGACTGACTTTCGGCGGTAAGGGGGGTAGAGTGGTGAGAGGCCTGTGCTTGTTGGGGGAGGGTGGTCCCTGCCCTGATGCCAGGAGCTCCAGCATGAAGGGCCTGCCCTGCAATGTGGCCTCCCTGCCCAGGGCATTCGCAGGGGCCACCGTGCACGACTGCTTTAACTGGCTGTCAGTTCTGGTCTTGCTGCCCCTGGAGGCTGCCACTGGGTACCTGCACCACATCACTCGACTCGTGGTGGCCTGCTTCAACATACGGGGTGGCCGAGATGCCCCTGACCTGCTGAAGATCATCACGGAGCCCTTCACTAAGCTCATCATCCAGGTAGAAGCAGGGCTGGCATGGGGGGCACTGGGGAACAGAGAAGGCCCCACCCTCACTCCCCTCACCCACATCTTGCCCACAGCTGGACAAGTCCGTTATTACCAGCATTGCCACCGGTGATGAGGCCCTGAGGAACCACAGTCTCATTCGAATCTGGTGCCTCCCAGACCCCATGGAGGTGAGTCCCAGGTCTGGCCCCAGATGAGAGGACAGCTGACTGTTAGCGTCACCATCTGTTCAAAATGCTCCAAGTAGGCCCTAGAGATCATTAGCCTCAAGTGGGCAAATACATCTCACTTTTACTGTGAGACTGCACCTATGACAGACATTGCTAATCTCTCCCAGCCTCACAATGGCTTTAGACAGCCATTAACAATCAATTAGGGTTGGCATGTAATTGATCTAGCCCAGTGGTTCTCAAAGTGTGTACCAGTGGCACCTGTACTAACTGGAAGCCTGTAAGAGATACAAAGTATTAGGCCCTTCCCTCAACCTACTAAATCAGAAAAAACTTAGGGGTGCGGGCCTAGCAGCCTAGTTTCAACAAGCCCTCTACATCTGCTCCACACTCAAGTTTAAGAACCACTGATCCAGTTTAATCCTCTGGTTTCACAGATAGAGAAATGGGCTCCAAGAGGCTAGGAAACTTGTCAGAGCTTGTACTGCTGTCAGGTCCCTGAGCACAGGACTCACCTTCCAGGGCACTCTCTTCCCCACTAGGAGTCCCAGGGGGTTAGTGACTCAACTCTGCCATGTTTTCGGGAGGAGGGCAGAGAGTGAATGGAGGACTAATAGGACGCTAGCCCAGGAGCAGGACAGGTGGGCCACGTGGAGACCTCACTGGAGACACAACAGCCCATTGCGCCAACATTGGGGGTCCTTCCCTTGGAGACTCCCACAAGCGTGTGTCCCCTCATCCTTCCACACGGTTTCTGCTGCTTCTTGGCTTCTGCTGCCCAAAATGACAATCTTTTTGGATGAGTTGGACACTCATGGACCGGCCATTACACCAGGCTAACAAGGAAGCAGGCAATTAGCACACTTTCTCACTCAGCCGTAAATGGGAAAATGCTTCATCAAAACCATAATATCCACAGTACCTACTTTCCCTTGATTATTACACACAAGAACAACTCCATTTAGAACAACATATAAGGAAACCCAAAGCCAAAGCCTTTCCCCCTCATCATCTCCACTTGTTACTTGATGTCACTGAGCCTTTCTCCCCTGCGGCTTGAACAGAGAGCAGCCTTTCAACCGGCCCTGGGAGGTTCCCTTGCATCTGAGTGGCGCAAAGCTCCGGCTCAGCCCTGCTGAGTGTCCAAAGCAGTTTGACATCAAAAGGCCTGTGCAGGCAGCTTTTACTCTGGCATTGTGACTTCTCTAACAACCTCCACCTTCTCACAGGCTTGCGGGGCACTCCCCGGGCTCTCCGAATCATCATAATCCTCTCTACTTCATAGCAAAACCTGGAGTGAGAGAAATCACACACTTTGATATCGTCACAAAAAACAAGGGATGGAAGGGAGCTCCTGGGCCACCCCACTTGCTGCTCTGAAACCTGCTGCCCACCTGCACCCAGCAGGTTCCCCTGCAGCACGTACCACTGATGGAATCCTCCTGCCATGCTGGTGAGGTGGACATGAGCATCCTGAGCACCCTGTCTTCCATGTGAAGCAACCTACCCAAGGTCGCTGGACCAGGGCTGTCCTCACTGCTCCAGCTGCCACCTGCCTGAGCACTGGTTTCTTTGCTCAGCTCTCCCAGGAGACCTTTTCCTTAAGAGCAATTTCCTTGGCCTGGAAAGTTGCTCTGGGGTGAGATCTGAGCTCCCTGTTTTCACCCTCTCTGTGGGACAGTTTCCATGGGAATGTGGCTCATGCAGCTTTGTGTTCGCTCTTGGGAGGTGATATGTGCTGGCGGCTCCTCCTGCACTGGACTCGAGTTTTCCTCTGGCCACTGAATCTCCCTGTGCTCCCTTCCAACCTATCCCCGTTGCCTCCAGCTTTCATCAAGCTGGACCCGACTTCACCCAAACCAGTCTCCAGGGAGCTGTGTCACCAAAGAAAGGATTGGGAGCCTGTGAGTGTCCAGATGATGAAAGAAAAACCAGAGGCAATTTTAGTGTTCCAACACCTCTTGGTGCTCTGTGGGCCTGACATTATCTTGGGAATGACCTTCTTTTGTTCTCACACTGTGGATTGTCAACCATACCTGCCTGGTTTAGCATCTTTTGAGGACTTGCAACCTTGGAAGCATCCCCATTTTACAGATGAGGAAACTAAGGCTCAGAGAAACTAAGGCCCAAGTCCATGCGATTGAAGGACAAAAATCCTGGGGGAATTTGGAGCCTGCATTCCTGAATCTCCATCTTGCTGCCTCTTCCAGACACCAGTCTGGTGTCCCACCATTCATGTCCATTCCCCACTCTGCCCATCATAACTGAGTGCCACCAGGCAACCGCAGCAACTCAGAGACCCTTCAGTGATGGTAGGTGCTGCGCTAAAGAGTTCTCTTCACCACCAGATGGCGCTGCTGGCACAGTGCTCTCCTTTTGCTCCAGAAACAAAGACCCTAGAGTTCCCCTTCCCCTGGAGGAGAAACTATTGCGCAGGCCCACATCCTGGGCCTTTCTCCCCAGCGGAAGGATTCATGGATCCCGGGATTCCTTTGTGAGGTTAATCATCTCCTTCATTTTCCAGAGGTGCCTCCTTAATTTGGGGTGGCTCTGCAGGCATTTAAATCCCAACTCTCTCTTCCAAGATTCCTCAAAACTAGCCCCTAGGGAGAGGTGGGCAGCATTGTGGACCTCTTGCTGCAGAGGAGGAAACTGAGGCCCAGAGAGGTTATGTACTTGGTCCAGTGTCACACAGCTGGAAGTGGCTCAGCTGAGTTTTGAGCCCAGGGTTGTCTGAGGCTCACCATTCTGTTCTGCCCACAGAATTCACCACGCCTATCACGTTCTCCCTCCCACTTCCCCATCTCACCTCCACCATGACCCCAGGCCCAGGAAGGATGGGCACATCCTGGGAGTATGCCCCAGGCCCTGGGCCTGCTAGCTCTTTATCTAGGCTGGAGCTTCTACCTTCTCTCTTATAGTCTTCTTCCCCTTATAGTCTCTGGACTCCCCCTGTGACCTCAGCCAGGGCCATACAACCTCAGGCAGGAAGATCAAGTTTCCAAAATCCCGGGTTTTTGCCCTGGTCCTTGCCCTGGCCCAGCACTGCTCCTATCTTCCTCCAGCCTCCCAGGATCCCACAGGCCCCTCCCCCAAGAGAATCCCAGGCCCAGCCCAGGGAAAGTCAGTAGGGTACAGGCTGGTCAGGCACCCACCCATCTCAGGGAGTCATCTGTCTTTCAGGACCTTAGGCTGAGGCCTCCCAGGAATGTCCACCAAGCTCCTTCCCAACTGGGCCAAAACCTTCAGAAACATCTGCAGGAGCCACTGATCCTGAACTAGGAAGTCAATCACACAACACACCCTTTCCACTGTGTAATCCCAGATGGGCCAAGGGAGGAAACTGTCATTATTTGGAGGCACAATTTGCTGAAGGCTTGTCATAAGCTAGGCCCTTTGGTGAGCGTTTCACACTCATTTTCTCCTATAACATTTTTAACAGCTCTTTTATTGTCCTGCTTTAGAGAAAACAGGCTCAGGAAGGTTGCGTGACGTGCCCAAAGTAGTTGTTACAAGCAGCAGGATTTGAATTCAGATATGCCTGACATCAAGTCCTCAAAAGATGCCTCTGTACCTCACCCATGGCACTCTCCCTTACACCTGGCTCTCCCAATTTAAAGCCAGGTGCTATAAGTAGGTCTTACCTCTATTGCACAGTTTTTAAATGACACAGTTTAGAATCAAACCTAAAGGAGCTGTAACATTGAAGTGCCAGGACCCCACCTGCGCCCTACCCTCAGCACCGGGGGAGGTCAGAGAGGTATGGGATGCAGAGCTGGGGATGGAGGTGGAAAGGGAACCAGCACCCATATCAACTCCCAGAAGAGGCAGAACACATTTATGGAGACACGAGAAAAGTAGTGACTCTTGCATTTTACCAGAGGCGCTGGAAGTAACTGTCCCTTCTGGGGCTTCTGTGAGATGGCGGCTCCCCAGCCAAGCCAAGCCCACTTTCTCCTTTAAAAGATCTGGGGGGAAGGCACCCCAGGTTGCATTTAAAAAAATAACTCTTTAACCCAACGAGGCTACAAATTAGTGTCTGCAGACCAGACTGGTCTTCAGAGTTGTAAAGCATGCCTTAAGGTGGCTGCCAACATTTACAGATTGCAAAAATTTACATTTATCTGAAACTAGAGAGTTGTGGTTTCTCCTGTAGATAAGGCCCTTTGGCCATGTGGGCTGTGTCCTTGGATGGTGACAGTGGCCTGGAGCTGAATAGCTGCTGCCCCTAAAGCCCAGCACACTCCCCCCACCATCTCCACACTCAGCCTGAGCCCCTCACTTAGGCTACCTGCCTGGCCCTGGGTCCTCTGAATTGGGGGGCCTCCCCAGAAACCTCACTCACTTCACTGATAGTAGGTAGGGGAGGGAAGCGATGTGGGGCCTGGACTCTCAGAGGCCCACCCTGCCCCCTGCCCCCTGCCCCTCTCCAAATAAGGAATTCAGCCAGAAGAAAATGGAGCTTGGACAAGGTGCCTCAGGGAAGAGGATGGGGCAAGGATGCTGGGGAAGAGGGCCCACTGAGAGGGATTGGTAATAAAAGATGGGGAAAGAAGAATTTTCAGAAGAAGAAAACCATGGTCAGCAGCATCCAAAGCCAAGGAGAGGTGGGAGAAACAAGGACAAGAAGCCACCGGATCACGAGCCCAGAGAGAGCCAGATTAGTGGACTAATGAGGCAAAATTTCAGAGGGTTGGGCCGGCCGAGTGGCGCGATGGTTAAGAGCTGGCTTGGGATGCCAGAGGGCCCCGGTTTGGATCCCACATGTGAGGGCCGGTGACACTGCCCTCCACAAAATCAAAACAAAAAAACAAACAAACAAAAAATTTCAGAGGGCTGACCATGGCCAGATTCTTGTATGGCATGTATTTTTACCTCCATCTTTTCAGCAGAGCAGATAAGCTCAGAGAGGGCAAGCAAACCACCCAAAGGCACATAGCCAGGAGGCCTATCACGATTCCTTTACCCTCCGCCCCCATCTCTCCTTAGTCTCCATGTTAGCTCCAACCCCAGACTGCTTTTTCCTAAATTCTCTAAGTCACCTTCCTCTTAATCTAGGCTCCCACCATCATGCCCAGGGCAGAGGCCAACACGAGTCCGACCCTTGGAAATGACACCATGGAGAAATGTGAGTGACTGCATGTTGGGAGAGGTCTGGCCTGGCAGGGGCAGAGCCTGGCAGAGATAGCGCCATCTCCCTCTTGGTCACTGCTGCTTCCAGCCCTGGGAAGGATGGCTGCAAACCAGCCCAGCTCCTGGGCTTGGATCAGGCCTAATGTTGAGGTTTCAGGAGACTGAGGTGGGGCCTTGGGCTCCAAGCTGAAGGGGGTGGCAATGGTGGGGGGCTGGAAGCAAGGTGGGGGCTCAGTTCTCAGCAGCTTGACACCCCCCATACACACATAGGCAACCACCTCTTTGTGGACACCGGGCTGCCTGACCTGGCCGTGGGGCTCATCCTGCTGGCTGGCTCCCTGGTGCTCCTGTGTACCTGCCTCATTCTCCTCGTCAAGATGCTAAACTCCCTGCTCAAGGGCCAGGTGGCCAAGGTCATTCAGAAGGTTATTAACACCGGTGAGTCCAAGAAGTGGGTGGACAGGCCCCAGGACGGGCCCTTTCAGATCTCGCTAAGTCCTGCCACTGCCTCACTGTGATCTGGGTAAAACCCTACCATCCTTGAGCCTCAGTTCCTCCATGTGAGCAAAGAAGAGGTTGGACTGGGTGATCTCTAGGCCCCTGAGGTGCTGACAGCTAGATATCTGTGGCTGCCTCTGGCTATGGTCCCATTCCAGCAGGTGGCTCTAGAGAGATTCTCAGAGGCCACTGTTTGATTTGATTAACTAACAAATGGTCATCAAGCCCCTACGTTGTGCCAAGCATGGGATGGTGCCAGGGATGCAGAGGTGAGGTGCACAGAGATGGATCCTGGATCCTGCCCTCGGGGCTCGGGGCCCAGAGGGAGGGAGGGCAATGAAAAACAAATTATCAGGGGGGATACATTCAGAGAAAAAGAGAGTTAACTGCCAAGGAGAAAGCAAAAATGGCAACAGAATAGAGTTTGGAAGAGGCTGCTTTTGATGGGTGCTCAGTGGCCTCTGTGAGGAGGTGACATTTGAGCAGAAATCTAGATGAGGAGTCCAAATGTGGCTGAAGTGCCTTCCGGGTGAAGGGAACAGCAAGCACAAAGGCTCTGAAGCAGGAGCCAGCTGGGCAGGTTTGTGGCCCAGAAAGGTGGCCAGTTGCATGGTGGGAGCTCAGTAAGGGAGGCTGAGAGAGGCAGGGAGAGGTCATCGAGAAAATGGAGGATCAGATCACGGGCCACAGGCTGTGCTCAGAGCCTGGACTTTGTTAAGGATAATGGGAGCACCTGGAGGGTTGGGGGGCCGGGGAGTGACACCATCTGATTTTCATTTTAAGCTTCATTCTGAGCTTTCAGAACTGCTTGGCACAGGTAGAGGCTGCATGACAAATGCTGGAAGGGAGCTCAGAGGATGGAGAAACAAGGGCTGGGTCAAGAAGGGGTTTTCAGTGGCAGTGATATCCACACTGAGCCCTCAGGGTGAACATTTAGGAGTGAGGAGGGTATCGGGGCAGAGGGAACAGCCTGGGCAAAAGTGTGATGGAGCCAGTCTGAAAAGGGTCTTTAATTCAAGATCAAAGGGCCAGTAGAAGCCACCGCAGTTGAGCAGGAACTGACAAGGTCCCCTTGGAAACTGGCATCCAAGACCTCCTCCCCAAGAAAGGTCTTGGCTCCCCTTCCAATGTTCCCCCACTGATCATGCTAGGACGGGTTTCCTCGCAGACTTCCCCGCCCCCTTCACCTGGGCCACAGGCTACTTTGCCATGGTAGTGGGTGCTGGCATGACCTTCGTTGTCCAGAGCAGTTCTGTGTTCACCTCGGCCATCACCCCACTCATTGGTGAGTGCCCATGCTGAAGGGGGGCTAGCAGGGAAAGGGCTGAGGGGGAGCAGGGAGACCACATCCTGCCCTCTGTCCCCCAGGCCTGGGTATGATCAGCGTCGAGCGTGCCTACCCCCTCACGCTGGGATCCAACATTGGCACCACCACCACGGCCATCCTGGCTGCACTGGCCAGTCCCCGGGAGAAGCTGTCCAGTGCCTTCCAGGTGTGCCTGGGAGAGTAGGCCTGCCAGAGGCAGGACCGGGCTGGGATTGGGGCATGGCACTGGCCCAGGGTGGGATAACATGTAACAAATCATTTTAACTGTTGAATAGGGGCCACCCACTATGCCAGGCTCTGGGGCAACCATACAGGCAAAGTAGAGCTGGTGCCACCCTCAGGACCCTGGCATCTACAAGAAGATATGACTTAGAATCACACTAATAAACAGTGGGCGGGATGTGCCCTCTTAAGAAGGGGTGCTGTAAGAGGGGACCTGGCCCAGTCTGAGGGATCAGGTTGAGTAGGGGGACACACGCCAGAGGGGTTGCTGTCCTAGGAGCAAAGGCGTAATGACAAGCCAGGGGCTGGGGCCGGGGCAGAGACCCAGCAGGAGGCCGCCAGAAACTAACGAGGAGAAATCTTTTAGCTTCTGGATTTGGGCAGGAGCTGCTGGGGAATTCCTGGGAGAGGGGTCCGTGGGGGAGATGTGGAGCGTTCAGGGCAGTGGTTATTTGTCAGCTGGCCCAGAAGTGTTTTCATATTTCACTGGAGGCATAGCACCCCTAAGCGGTGAGTTTCCTGCTGCCCAGGCCAGGCTGGGCCCCTATTATCTGTTCCTGCCCGCCTGACTCTGGAGCCAGCCGAGCCTGTGCCCACCTCAGACCCTTTGCCCTCTCCCCTGCAGATTGCCCTCTGCCACTTCTTCTTCAACATCTCGGGTATCCTGCTGTGGTACCCAGTGCCCTGCACACGCCTGCCCATCCGCATGGCCAAGGCGCTGGGTAAACGCACTGCCAAGTACCGCTGGTTTGCAGTCCTCTACCTCCTGCTGTGCTTCCTGCTGCTGCCCTCACTGGTGTTTGGCATCTCCATGGCAGGCTGGTGGGCCATGGTAGGTGTGGGAGCACCCTTTGGGGCCCTGCTGGCCTTTGTGGTGTTTATCAGCATTCTGCAGAGTCGCAGCCCCCGGCACCTGCCCAAGTGGCTGCAGACGTGGGACTTCCTGCCCCACTGGATGCACTCCCTGAAGCCCCTGGACCGCCTCATCACCCGCGCCACCCTGTGCTATGCCAGGCCCGAGCCCCGCTCACCCCCACTGCCCCACTCACCCCCACTGCCCGCCAGGGTCTTCCTGGAGGAGCTTCCTCCCGCCACACCATCCCCCCGCCTTGCCCTGCCTGCTCACCACAATGCCACCCGCCTCTAAGCTTCGGACCAGACTGCCACCTGGGATGGGGAAGAGCCCATATCTGGTGCCCGAGGTGGAAAGACAGAGGAGTGTGTCTGTGTACGGTGGGCATGGGCATGTCCTTGTGCAGGTCCTCAGAGGTCTGGGCTGTATAGCTGAGAGCTGATGTGTGAGCCTGTGTGTCAGCCTGCTCATGTGTACATGATAGTGTACCTGTGGGGGCTCTGTGCAGGCTGCAGGATACCCGGGTATAATTTCCTGTCCTTTGCACATATGTTTGGAGGCCTATGCTTGTGTCCTTGTGTCCACACAACTCCAGCGGGGCTGGGCAGGACTAGGGGTGGGTCTAAGTAGTGACTTGCAGCTGTTTGCTCGTGTACAGATATGGTGGCTGAGTCACTGGCTGAATTCTCACCCCCTCCTGGCCACCTTCCTTCCATCATAATACCATTCTCATCCTCACCCAGCTTTCTGAATCACCACTAAAATGCCCTTTCCCAACACTGCCTGATTAAAAATAAGAATTAAACTTTTGTTCTGTATTTGGAATCCTGTTTGCTCTCATCTGGTGGGGAAGGAGAGACCATGGTTTGGGGTTCAGCAGCACTATCTCCCCTCCCAAAGACAGCCCGCTGTGTTCTGGAAGAGCCAGCCTGCAAACTCACTCCAACAACCTGCCTGGCCCTACCTTAGTGAGTCCAACCTACATTTCAGACTCCCTAGAAGCACTCCAGGACCTGGGGCCACCCCCAAAGCAAGTGTCAGGATGGCACTCTGAACCTCCAACCCCCGACCTACCAGGCTGACCTCCTCTGGTCTCTCCTTGCCTCTGACTTCCACCCTCCCTCTTTTGGGGACAAGATCAGTTCTCCAGAAAACAAGTGACAGGTGGGGGCTTGTCAGGATCACTGAGGGAGGGGGCTAAGAGGGTGGAGGTGGACAAGAGAGGCCATGTCCTGTGTCCCAGTGCACAGGGGACAGGGACCAGCCACCCTTCCTCCCACCTTTGTCTTCTATCTTTGGCAATAAACCAGGCCTCATTTAAAGCCAACCAAGTTTTCAATTCCTATTCCTCCATAGCCTCCCCCCCAGCTGAAGCCTGCAGAGGGAGAGTCAAGGGGTGGAAGGTGCCAAAATTCCTCACGCTAATCCAGGGACATCTCTGGAATCTTTGGACCCCAAGGTGGCAGGAAGGCTGTAGGGCCTAGACCTGGTTGTTATTGTCTTGGTCACATTCTCCTACTCCACACCCTTTGAGGTATGTGGGGAGAGATGCAAGGGCCAGGGCCTGGGAGTCCCAGAGCTGTTCCCTAACTTACCAGACGCACCTTGTCACCCACTTGCAACCCTTGCTCCCTCCTGCCAAGTGGAGGGTGTGAGGAGTACACTAACCTCCAGCCTGGGGAAGGGTGTGGGAGGGTGGGAAAGGGACCCCTTTTATGGTTTGTGCTGCCCAGAGGTGAGGAAAGCTTTGTGGGAAAGGATGCTCAGGCCTGAGCTCCAGGGTTTGAGAAGGCTGCTCCCTGGGACTCTTGCTCAGCTGTGGTGTCTCAAGGACCCTGGGGAAGGCGTAAAGGCCCCTGGACTCTGGCCTGGGGAGTCAGGTCAGAGGCCTCTGCAGGGGAACAAATGGAAGGGCTGGTTCTAGGGTACAGGAAGCTGGGAAGCCTCTGGACTCAAAATCCCAGCCCCACCAGGTAATCCTTCTGCAAGTATCTTCCATGATACTGGTGTCTTCTTCTTCGTCTTCTTCATCATCTTCTTCTTCATCATCATCATCATCCCCCACGCCCCTCAAACCAAGGATGAGTCTGCCATGCCCAAATATGACTTTACTTTGGATCCTCTGCTGCCTGGCTGCCTGCTAGGTGCTGTGAGTGCGCAGCCCACGGATCAGCTCATGCGCCCTCTTGTTGAGGATGCCCCCATGCACACCCCGCCGGCCCATGAGCACAAGGAGTGCGCGTGGGGTGTGGCCCACGCAGACAGCGCGCCCATCCAGCCCCTTCGTGCGTGCGTCCAACACTCCGTCGCCCTCTGCCAGCAGGTGGTCTCGGATGACGCAGCAGCGGCGGCCCGCCAGGCTCAGGCCCGCCTGCAGGAAGGTGCTCCGGTCAGGCCCTGTGAGCACACCCACTTCCTGCGGTGAGATGGCTGCCAACAGGCCCCCAGGCCTAGAGGCCCACACGCAGCGATTGTCCGAGTGACCCACGATGGCCACATCGTCGATTCGCTGATCCCGCAGCACCGCACTGATATAGCCTTTCCACTCTCCCATTCTGGCTCAAAGTATGCCCCTCCCCTTGCGCTTTTGAGGGATGCCGAGCTGCTTCAGCCTAGAACTCCCAGGGCACTGTAACGTATGTGGGGGCGGGGTTGTGACGTTGAGGCACGGCAATGTCACAGAGCGGCTACCTTCTGCGGGAGAATGGGAGCAGGGGTTCACATCTTACTCCTTGGTGAAGTCTAAATTTAGCCTGAAGGAGGGGATCGCAAGAAAGTCAAAATAATCCCCCAAATCCAACTAAATGACCCATCAAGTACTGTACACATGTATTTAAAAACGAAACGAAAGATGCCATGTCTGGACAATCGGACCTCTTGGCCTGGTAACCATTCAACCTCCAGAATGTGGTTCTCAAACGTTAGGAGCATTAGACTCTCCTAGAAAACTATTAAACACATCGCCAGGCCCCAACTCAGTTTGATTCAGTAGTATGACGTGTAGCCTGAAAATATGCACTTCTAACAAGTTCCCTGCCAACCCTGCTACCTCTGGTCTAGGGACCACACTTTGCGACCCACTGCCCTAGCGTGTGTTGGACAGCAGTTGCGGGGGGCTTCTTCCTCAGTCGCCAACCCGAAGAGTCCACATTACTGTTTTAAAGTTAAGCATTTATGACCATGGTTCTCAACCCCAGCTGCACTATGAAGTTTTTAAAACATACCACTGCTCACTCCCCATCCCTAGAAATACGTACTGATTTAATTGATCTGAGACAGATTGGGGGCATGGGCTCAAAAAGTTCCCCCAGGTGATTCTGATGTACAGTCAAGGCTGAGAACATCTCCATAAACTTAAAATATTAGTAAGTTTCAAACGAGGAATAATATGTGGAATCACCTTGCTCAGGGCTGGGTACACACGGCTCAGTAAATGTCAGCTGGACGTGAATCTAAATCTTGCATAAGATATCGATAGATCCTGTTCTGAGGGGTGTGGAGAAGCTGTGCACGGGTTTACTGTCTTGGCATTTCCCAGCAGGATCCCTAACAGCTGTGCCTCTCAAGCATTTCCAAAAGCACTTTATTGAGTGCCCTCGCCATGCCTGGCACTGGGCTGGCGGAACTGGAACACAATCCTTGCCGTCCAGGATCGTGCCCCAGCCATTCTCCCATCCAGAATCGCGCAGGAGGGTAAGACCAATTCCTGGGAGGTCAGGAAGCAGTGTGCTCCTGGATCCAGGTCAGGTAGTAGGTCACATCGGTGTATACACCTGGCTTGTTGCGGTCGCCACAACCCGAGCCCCAGCTGATGATGCCTCGCAGGACGAGCTTACGCTCTACGGACTCATCCTCACACACCAGCGGGCCCCCGGAGTCACCCTGGATCGAGGAAACGCGGCTCAGCATCCTTGGCCTGGGGTCTGCACTTGACGGGGTCTGAGGAGGGCGCCAAGCGGCCCAAGGATTCACCTGGCACGCGTCGGTGCCGCCCTCCAGGAAGCCCGCGCAGAGCATGCCGGAGGTGAAGGCGGTACCGTGCACATCGGGGGCGGAGCAGTGCTCCTGAGGGATGAGCGGTACCTGCGCCTCTTGCAGGAAGCTAGAATATTCCTCCGCCCCTGGAAACCGAAAGCTCTTTGTTCACACCCCTCTGGACTTGGCTTGCCCCTCGGCCGTGGAACTGACTGCGCCAGGCGCTTCCAAACCCACTGATTTCCAGCCTCCCTCACAGCAACCTCGTGAGGGAGGGAGTTCCCGGTAACCCTATTTCACAGATCAAGAAACTGAGGCGCGAAAGAAGCGGGATGTGAATGGGCAGGGCAGAGCAGGGCTGCTTTGGACGTTCACCCCCCTTCCTAGTCAGCGTGTAGGAACCTTGCTCCCCATCTATCCACCCTGCTTGAGCGCGGGGCCGGTGTCCTTTAGCCTTTTAGCCCAGCGCCCAAAGAGCAAGTAGGATTCTCCCCGTACCCCTCAGGAAATTTGGGGGCCCCAACAGTGAATCCCAGGCCCTGAGAGGAGCGGGCTGCTGAGACAAGGGTCCTGCACATCCTCACAACACACCAGTTCAGAGCCTCCTGTCCCTGGTGGTACCAATGCTTCGGGCTTTTCTGGACTACCCCAGTGACCAGAGGTCTTCCTCCCGCCCCTAGCCGTTCTGCCTACCCTCGAACTGGTGCCCCCAGCCGGCGACCTCGCAGAGCGCGGCCTCGTGTTCGGCGGAGTAAGCGGCACTGCTCGGCAGGCACAAGGGCTGAACCGAAGGCGACGGGCGCGCGCAGCTGCCATCCGCGCTTTCCTGCAGGTGCAGCAGCGCTAACCCGGGCGGGGAGGAGTGTGAGGCCCGAGACGCCGGGCTCCAAGCCCTCCCCACGATTCATTTCCCTGATCCCCGCGGGGCGACCCTACGCACCCAGGTCGTGCTGGTAGGTGATGGTCGAGAAGGCCTCGTGCAGGCGATAGGCGCGCACCGCCAGCGTCTGGCACTGCGCACAGCTCTGGTTAAAGCGGTCCTGGCCCAGCACCACCGTCAGCTCCTCCGGCGCCGGCCTGCGGGCAGGGTGGGGAGAAGACGCGTGATCAGAGCCGGCCACAAGCGGCCTTGGGGTGCCCCCCTTCCCAAGCCCCTTCCTGGGTTTCGGCTTCCTCCTGGGAGCTCTTGAGGGGAAAGGGGGGAACTTAGGGAAGGGATTCGGGTGTCACTCGGAAGCTGGGCACGGAGGAGAGGAGCCAGGTCCCGGGCTGGCGCTGGGATCTCGGTACTGGCCGGTTCTGCAGGCAGTGAGCCGCGGTTAGCACCCAGCAGGAGGCAATAAGGCTGCCAGCGCAGAAATTATGGCCCCAGTATAGCGCGGCGATATAGGGGTGAGCTCCAGGCAGCGCCACCAGTCCCCCGAAGACGCGGCTCAACGAGGACAGCCGTTTCCGGAGCCGCTGACCACAGCCTGCCGGGCTTGTTCCGGGCAAGGGAATCCGCTGCGCCGGCCCCTCGCTCAAGATTCTGGAGATGTCAGGGCTAAGGACAGGGAGATCCACGAGCGGCTGGAACGTAGCTCGCCCGCGCCCTCTCTGCTAGGACTTCCGCCCCTTCCCTATTACCTGTCATCGAAGGCAAGGCCTAGATAGTCGTTCTCTCTGAGAGGGGGCAAGGGGAGGTCCTGGTGCACAAGTGGTGTCCGGGGAGGTGCCCGGGCTAGGGCTTGGCACTGTGCCAGGCGGCAGTATTCCCAGCTCAGCCGGTCGCTCCTCCATACGAAACACCACGGGCGGGTATCATTGTCCGGATTCCTGTAACCACAGGAGGGAGCACTGTTAGAGCGTGGAGAGCCCCAGAGCCCCAGATGGGGAGGAAGGGGATGCCTTGCCCTGCAACACTCGGCGCACCGGCAGAAGGCATGGTCGCCCAGGCCCCAGTTTAGTGCTTGCTCTGCAGTCAGGTTCCGATAGGTGGCCTCCGAGGCCCAAGGCTGACACCGAGCGCCAGAGAGCGTGATCTCTGCTTTGCCTCGATAGCTGAGCCCGCGGCCGTCGTAGCAGCTCGCCACAGTGTCTGGGGAGAGAGGAGGCTCCTGCAGCCAGGGGATAGTATGGTCCTGCCGCCCTCTCAGCCACTCTCTCGTTCCTCTCCGCATGCTGTCCCCACGTGGGAGCGGGGCTTCTGTTTCCCGTATGCCCTAACTCACCCACGTCGCAGTTTCGTCCTGCGTACCCCTCCGGGCAACTACACAGACGGTGGCCCTCCGACTCTAGGCAGCGGCCCCCGTTGAGGCATGGGTTGGTGCGGCAGACTGGGAGAAGGAGCACAGTGAGCCACCTGTGGGCCCAAAGACCCAGAAGAGGCTCTCCTTTCACAGACACACCCCGGCCTCCTGGTATTTTCTCCTCCTGGCCTCTGACCTTTGGAAGTCCTCCCGGCCCATTTCCCAACCGATCCACTCACCCTGGCTGGCCAGCGGCTTGCAGTGTGCTCGGGGACCCTGGCACTGGCACTTGGTCATACCCGCGGGCTCAAGACTATACCATGTTTCATTCTCATGGAAGAACTGGAGAAGCTGAGGCTCAAAGCACTTCTCTGGGAATAAAGTGGGGCGGTGGTCTCAGGAGAGGCTGGGACCATGCCAAGTCTCCAGGGGTCCAGGGACCTCTTCAGTAGGCCAAGCCTGCTCCTGTTTCCCAGCCCCCCTCCCTGGCTCTTGGCATCTCCTTACCTCTCTGGCAGTGCTGCCCCGTGAAGTGTTCTGGACAGATGCAGTGTGGGCCTCTTGGCATGTTCACACAGGTCCCTCCGTGCTGGCAGGGGTTGTGTTTGCTGCAGTGGTCTGAGAGTTGGACACAGGGGGAGGAAGAGAGGGAGGAGCCTGAGTCAGGCAGATAGGAGCCATGTCCATACCTGAACCTGCTTGTTTTATGCCCTTGTTTCTAGGCCTTAGCTTACCCACCTGCAAAATGAGGCTATCCCCCTCCCAGAAATTCTCCCCCTGGAGGGAGGGAAGGAGCTGGGTGCACCCAGAATCCCAGGTGTGTAGGGTCTGATGATGCCCAAGAGAGTAACTAGTGGGGAGAAGAGGGCCTTGGGCCACCCCAGAGGCTATGTGTGGCACCTTGCACTTTCTTGGGCTCCAAGCAGTATGCCCATCGCTGATCCTGCTCGAAGTTGGGGGTAGTAGCACACCTGGAGAAAAAGATAAGGCTCCCAGCTCTGCCCAGGGGGCTGGCCCGCCCTCCCCTATCACAGCCCCCTCTCTCCAAGCAGGGTTCCTTAGGGAGAAGGATGGGCAGGGTCCATCTGCCTAGACCCCTGCTCCAACCCCTTCTGGGTTGTCTTACCAGGGCCGGGAGCCAGGCCAGCCTCTGTGGGCGCATTTGTGGTACAGCTGCCGGTTGTACTGGAAAGGGAAGTGGCAGGGCTCCCCAGTGACAGTGAGAACTGCAAGGATAACACTCTCTGAGACTGTTCCCTGTGCCCAACCTTCCAGACACCACCCTCAGGGTCTACTTGAAAAAGGACAGACCTTCGAAAAGATCATTGTACCTTCAAGCATCCTGCTTAAGAAGTTGGGTTCCAGAGTCAGACAGCTGGAGCACTCCGACTCCAGCACCTACTAGCTGTGTTACCTTAGGCAAGTCTGTGTTACCTTAGGCAGTTCCCCACTTTAGAAGAGTGCTTGCCACAAAGTAGGCACTTCATAAATACTTATTAAATGTTGAAGTCACTTGACCACTCTGAACCTTAGTTTCCTCTCTGTAAAATGGCCATGATTATACAGTTGAAAAGTTTCAGTTTTGCATGATAAAAAGATTTCTGAAGATGGGTGGTGATGATGTTTGCACAATATAAATGTACTTAATACCACTTAACTGTGCACTTAAAACGGTTAAGATAAATTTTATGTTGTGTGGATTTTACCACAAAAAAACTTTTTAAAATAATGATGTAGGTATATTAGTACAAAAAAGTGTTAATAATTTAAACAAAGAACAAGTTGCAAACAGCATGTCAGTATGGTCCTATTTTTATACAAATACGTATGCATAATAAAGAAATCTAGAACATTTTCAAAATTTGTAAGAGTGGTTTTTGGAAGATGGTGGATTATGGATGACTTTCTTCTTCTTTTGCATTTCTGTAATTTCTAAAGTTTTGGCAATAAACATAATTTTTTTAATTGTACAGTCGAGCCTCATCATTCACAGATTCTGTATTTGTGAATCTGCCTTCTTGCAAAAATGTATTTGTAACCCCCAAACCAATTCTTGAGGAGCTTTCACGGCCATTCACAGACATGTACAAAGCAATGAAAAATTTGAGTTAGCAGAAGAATACATTCCTAGAAGAGGTCAAACCTGGTGACACTCTGCTTCTTGTTTCAGCTCTCCTACTGTAAACAAACGTCCTTTTCACAGTCTATTGAGTGCCACATTTTTCACATTTTATGCTTTTGGTAGGTGATTTTGCTGTTGAAAATGACCCCCATAGTGCTGAAGTGCTGTCTTGTGTTCCAAAGTACAAGTGGGCTGTGATGGGCCTTATGGAGAATATATGTGTCTTAGATAAGTTTCATCAGGCATGAGTTATAGTACCTTTGGCTGTGACTTCACTGTTAACGAATCAATAATACATATTAAGCAAGATGTCTTTAGACAGAATCACACATAAAACAAGGTTATATATTGACAGTTGATGAAAACATTGTGACGAGAGGCTCACAGGAACCCAACCCTATATTTCCTTTAGTTCAACATATTTGCTAATTCAGTGTTCGCAGTGACTTTATAGAATGTGACTACCACAAATAACAAGAATTGACTGTATCTACTTCAGAGGAGCGTTGTGAGGTTTAAATGAGATTACACCTATAAAACACTTAACCTGGCCCAGAGTACCTGCTCAATAAACATTAGTTGCTATTTTGTTGTTAAAGGCACAATAGCAATTGCTGAGGGACAGGACAGCAAAGGAAGAGGGAGGGGTCTGAGATGGACTTTTAAAATGCAAATGGAGGGCCTGCTGAGTGGCTCAGTTGGTTAAGAGCTTGAGCTCTGAGCAACAGGGTTGCTGGTTCAACTCCTGCATGGGACAATGGGCTACACATACCCGCAACTAAGATTGAACATGGCACCTTGAGCTGAGCTGCCCTGAGCTGCTGCCAGGTGGCCGGATGGCTCAGTGGCTTGCTCAGTGGTTAGAGTGTGCGCTCTTAGCAACAAAGTTTCCAGGTTTCCAGTTCAACTCCCACGTGGGTGGTGGGCTACGCCCACCCACAACTAAGTCTGAACACAGCACCTTGAGCTGGGTGGCTGGATGGCAACTGGACCTGGAGCTGAGCTAGCTGCGCCCTCCACAACTAAGATTCAAGGACAACAACTTGGCTGTTCCCCTTCCCCAATTCCCCAACACTGTTCTCCTTCTCCAATTCCACAATAAAATCTTAACAACAACAACAACAACAACAAAAAGATGCAAATGGGATGGATAGAGAGGAGGATCATCCTAAGCAGGTGATTAGACAAGGGCAGGGCACCTAGGTTGGATCAGACAAGAGGACAGAGAGCAGTTTGGCTGGGTGTGAAGTGATGAGAGGAGGCTGAGGCAGTCAGGGTTTGATGTGCTGAGTGAGCCTCAGTGTCATGCTAAGGGGCTGGGCCTGACCCCACCAGGCTCACCGCCAGGGGCGATGAGTTCACTACCCTTTAGTGCTTGGGAGAATGAAGGCAGTGGGGAGCTATGGCAGGGTTTGAGGAGGTGGGAGATGGCAGACCAACCCCCACCTAAAAGGGAGCTTAATAAGAAAAGCTAATATGTTTTAAGCGTTTACCATGCAGCTGATGGTGACTGAGTGCCTTACATGGATTTATGACTCATTTCTCCTTCCCAACAACCTTAAGAGGTTTACTATTACCAGCCTGGTTTTACAGATGGGGGAGTTTGGAGAAGTCAAGTCATTTGCCCAGAGTCACCCAGCTCATCAGTGATGAAGCCAGGACTCAGAGATATTTGAGCTCCAGAGTCCGGCTCTTGATCCTTTCTTGTCTATGGAGGGCCCTGGCCTCTGTGTGGCAAGACTGATGCCTGCGAGATGTATCGAGGAAAGGAAAAGAAGAAGGGAGGCTGGGGAAACTGAGGAAGACTGGCAGGCCGTGGAATGGGCACTCAGCTGCCCTCAAAGGAGCCCAAGCCCTGCCCTCAAAGCAGCACATAACTCGCTATCACTCTGGGCCCCCAGCGCCCATGGGCACAGCAGGCCCTCAGGTCTGAATGTCAGCCAGATGACTCTGGGGACAAGAGTGATGGTTGTGCCCAGGATTCCACTCCTTGATGCAAGAGACTGACCATTGGTGTACTCCCAACCATACCCATTCCCACCCAAGAGTATCTTAGGAGGCAGAGCTGGGCTACTTACCCACTGTGTGTTCATCCGCTACGTGCTCATGTACACTGGGGGCTTTCCAAGGTGGAGCCTACAAGGGGAGAGAGGAAGGCAAGGAATTTTCCCAGAAAGTCATAGCTTGCCCCTGATCCCATGCTAGTTCCCAGCCCAGAAATACAGAGATTGCCTCACAAGATCTGGACCCTTTCTTCCTCCCTGCTTCTCAAGGCCCTTCTCCCCCAGAAACGCTGGCCATGCCCTCATATCTATAGGCTCTAGCTGTCTCTCTCCTCTGCCTGAGCCTTCTGGGCTGGTCATGTGCAGAGACCAAGGCTGTGATAAGGACCCCCGGGACCACCTCAGTACAATCCTCTTGGTTCCCACAGCCCTCACCGAAAGTGCCGGCTCCAGGCTCACCAGCAGGGACCCTAGGAGCAGCAGAGCCCTCATGGCGTCTGTCCGTTGGTCCAACTGCCAGCCCAGGAGTCCAGATCAATAGAGTTGGCCAAAGGTCTCTGAGGCCTGGAGAGCGGAGATTGGTCAAGCTGCCCTCCTGGGCCTTGTGGGGCACAGGTTGTTTGTGGAAAGCCAATCAGAGCAGCTTCTTTGGCACGCCTCCAATGGCGAGGAAGTTGGAAGTTGGGGGTTCAGGATAGAATGATGAAGAGCTTGGTTACCCCTCTCTTTCCCAGATAGTGGGACTGGAAGCAGGAAGAAGGACTTCTTGTGTGCCATGTCCCACTGGGAATGAGGAGGTTAAGGAGACCCAAGAGAAGCTCCCTATTGTAGTGATCTTAGGGTCCATTGGGAAGTGTGGTTATTTTCTATTGTTGCTTAAAATGAACCGAAGCTTCACAACTTAAAACAATATCCACTTATTAGTTCACAAACCTGTAAGTGGAAAGTCCAGCGCTGTGTGACTGGGTTTTCTGCTCAGAGTATCACAAAATTGAGACCATGGCTGAGTTCTCTGGAGGCTCTCGGGGAAAATACACCTTCAAACTATTCAGATTGTTGCCAGAATTCAGTTCACTGCATTTGTAAGACTGAGGTCCCTGCTTCTTTTGCAGACTGTCAGCCAGGGGCCACCGTTAGCTCCTCGAAGCTGCCTGCATTTCTTTTTCTTTTTCTTTCTTTTTTTTTTTTAAGATTTTTATTGGGGAATTGGGGAGGGGGAACAGCCAAGTTGTTGTCCTTGAATCTTAGTTGTGGAGGGCGCAGCTAGCTCAGCTCCAAGTCCAGTCGCCATCCGGCCGCCTGTCGGCAGCTTGCGACCACTCAACTCAAAGTGCCATGTTCAATCTTAGTTGCAGGGAGCGCAGCTCACCATCCCATGCGGGAGTTGAACCGGAAACCTTGTTGCTAAGAGCGCATGCTCTAATCACTGAGCCATCTGGCCACCTGTTGGCAGCTCAGCTCGGGCGCAGCTCACTGGCCCATGTGGGAATTGAACCGGCGACCCTGTTGCTCAGAGCTTGAGCTCTTAACCAACTGAGCCACTTGTCCAGCCCTGCATTTCTTGACATATGGCCCCTCAATCTTCCAAGCCAACAGAGTCTCCCCCATGTTGACTCTCTCTCGCATGTTGAATCTCCTTTGCCAGGAAGAACCCTGTCCCTTTTAAGGGGTCACTTGATTAGGTCAGGCTCACCAAGAATAATTTCCCTATCTTAAGGTCAACTAATTTGGGGCTTTAATTACATTTACAGCATTCTTCCACAAAAGCATCTAGATTAGCATTTGAATGAATAACTGGGAGAAGGTAAGTGTACACCAGGGAGTGAGAATCTCAGGGGTCATATTAGAATTCTACCAACCACAGAAAATTAGTCAAGAAAGTAAATGATCCTATGGGAAAAAAGCTAAAACAAGGGATACTAAAATGTGCACTTGGAGCATAAAGGAGGGTGATAGGGTCAACACATGCTGTTTTCCCTACCCAACATCCATTACCGTTGGTTCAGTAATGACACCCTGATTTTTCCTTTGGGAACCACTCCTTTATTCCCTCCATGAGTCCCTGTGCTGCCAGCTCTACCCTCCCATCCAGGGCTGGGGGTGTGGCCTCTGTCTGACCAATAAGAGCCTGGTATCTGTAGACCACAGCAATTGGTTCAGGGAGAAGCATATATACAAGTTTGGCCAGTCAGAGTCAGCCTTGGAACTTCCGCCAGAACTTTGGGAAAAGAGATACTTTCTTCCCACTTTAGTTGCTAAAAATGCAAGCCTGAAGATGTTGATGTCCATCTTTGTCACTGCTCGGGGAGGCCTGATATACAGACGAGGTCATTAAAGTGAAAGCATCTGAGTTCTTTTTTTTTTTTTAATTAATTAATTTATTTTTTTAAGCTGAGCCACTCTGCTCAGCAGCTCAGCAGCTGCTCAGCTCAGGCCGGGAATCGAATTGCTGTTGCTCAGAACTCAAACTCTTGAGTGAGCTCTTAACCAACTGAGCCATTCAGCTGGCCCTGTGTCTTAGTTCTTGATTGCACCTGAGTACAGACCACAGCCCAGGGCCAATTTCATACTGGCCCCTTCCTTCTCATGAGAAGCCTGCTTGCCCTTGGAACTGGAGGGGCCTTCAGAACAGGTCTCCAGGATGAATAAGGATTTGTGGGGGAGGGGGAGGGAGAGCTCTTGAGCAGAGTGAGTAACACAACTTCACAAAGCCGAAATGTAGCGTGTCAGATGGGAAATGAGCTGAGCACAGGGTGCCTTGTAGGGAATGTGAGATGGGGCATGAAGTCCTTTGGGACTGAAGATGGACACTCATGGGGATTTCGGTGCTCAACATCTATTTCCTGTTCTTTCTCTAGTCTCCCAGTTTCTATTTGGGAAGCCACCCTTCCCCCACTGTGTGGTGAAAGAGTAATTTCTACTGACCATCTCCCACTATGGAAACCTGATGGACCAAGTAAACCTCTCCCTACCATAGCATAGCCAGAGAGACCTGTTTAAAAACACAAACAAACAAACAAACAAACAAACAAACAAAAAACCCACAGGCCCAAAATGGCATCACTTGTGCCAAAAGCCCATGATACCAAACCTGATCTAATTGCAGCTTCAACTTCTCCCACAAACATAATCTTAATCAGTTAGTATGGAATTTTCTGGTCAACACCGGAAAGGTAACCTATCACATAGGCTGTCTCCATCCCCCATAGAAAGAAGAGGCAATCTCCATAATAAAAAACTTTTCCCCTTCTCTCCCTCCAAAGAAAAGATGTCCAGGCCCAAAAAGAATCCTTTCTTTTCCTAATAGCTTCCTTGCCCCACCCTTCTTCCTATCGTTGACTTAAAAATAATATCAACTAGGTATTTTATCACCAAAAAGGATTTATTCAGGAAAAAGAAAAAGGTTGCAATCCAGCACATGCAGAGATAGCAAGCCACTTGCACATTTTGGCCTGGGAGCCAAGATGGAGGAGTATTTAAGGAAGGGGAAAAGGGAATTAGAGCCATAGAGTTGTTTTTTTGTTTTATGGGTTTTTTAAAAGATTTTATTGGGGAATTGGGGAAGGTGAACATTATGTTTTTCCAGGACCCATCAGCTCCAAATCAAGTTGATGCCCTTCAATCTTAGTTGTGGAGGACCAAGCTCAGCTCCAAGTCCAGCCACTGCTTTCAACCTAGTAGAGGCGGCATGCAGCCCACCATCCCATGAGGGAGTTAAACCTGCAATCTTGTTGTTAATAGCATGCACTCTAACCAACTGAGCCACCGGGCTGGCCCAGAACCATAGAGTTTTATTATAAAGGAAGTTAGAACGACTGAACAATAACATCGACTAGGTAGTCTGTCACCAAAAGGATTTATTCAGGAAAAGGGAAAAGTACTGCAGCAACATGAGAACATGCAGACCCAATGAGCCATGTGCACATTCTGCCCTATGCCAAGATGGCGGATATACTGGAAGTGCCAAAAAAATGTATACAAATGGACACTTTGGTCAGAGTTGCTCAAGCAGTAGTTTGCCGTAATCAGTGTCTGGACGCTGATGGTAACCACTTTGAGCATCTCTTGTAATTGCAGAAGTCAAATGTGACTTGTATTCATCTTTTGTTATCGGTATATATTGAGCACTACAATTTTAATAGTTTTTTCTTTTCTTAAAGTGTGTATACATTTTTTTGGCACCCTCTGCATATAAAGGGCAGGGAGACAGGAAGTTAGAACCACGGAATTTTATGAAAAGGAAGTTAGGACCCTAGAGTTCAAAGAACCCAGCTCCCCCTACATACCTCCCAGCCTGATTAATTTCCTTAAATTCCCAGTTCTTCCTGTAGGGTTCCCGAGTGAACGTCCATAAGCCTTACCTCCTTCCATAGGCCCTCCTGCCCTATTATGTTTTCTTCAAGTTCCAGTTCATCTTTATCACTATAAAATCCTTCCACTTTGTACAACTCCTCAGAGGGCCCTTCTAGTTGCTGGATGGGATGCTGCCTGATGCATGAATCGCTGAATAAAGCCAATTAGATCTCCAGATTTACTCAGTTGAATTTTGTTTTTTGGAGGTCTAGCACTGCACGACCTGTGCCCTGACCAAATTGTCCCTGCTACAAGTAATGCCAGGATACCATTGAAAACACAAGCTTAAACAGGAAAGAAATTCAAAGTCATCATTTTGTTACCCAGGGGCCAGAAGCCCCTTCTGTGAAGCCAATAACAAGACCAAAAGGGAACCTTAACCGCACAAGCTTTATTCCATGGCCGGAGAGAGTGGAGACATGGGAGTCTTGCTCTCACATCAGCTTCTCCTCAGTTAGGGGTTGGGGGGTTGTCTAAATAGAATAATGGAAATGAGAAGGAGGTTTATATAAATAGATGGGAGGAATATTCATGGGTTTTCTGGGAAAGGAGTGGCGGTTTTCTCGGAATCAGGGTTCTGCCTTCTTTTTGTCCTTTTATGGTCTCTTCCCCCTGTTGTCATGATGATCGTCAACTGTCATGGCACCAGTAGGTATGTCATTTAGCACAGAGATTAGATTATACTGAGCTTTGAAGTCCTTTGGGGGTCACTTAGGCAGCCATCTTCGTCTCAACCGGATTGGGTGAGTACTTAACAACTATCCACAGGCCTGCCTTTCCTCACCGACAAATAGAGTTAGAGCCAGGAGGGGTTCATCACAGACCTCCTGTGGGGTAACAAATTCCCCCTTTCTTATTTTTCGCTCTTCATTCTTGAATTAGTGCTGAGGGATGAAGTTCTGTCTTCTGTAGCTTCTTCTAACTGGAGGTGGTGATGGCAGGGGCCCCATTCGAGGAGTGAAATTTTTCCCTAGCTAATCTTAAATTTGTCTGATTACCTCCTGGCTGTAGCTCATACCTTGTGTTATTACCATCTGTAGTTTGATTGTGTATGGAGATGCCTGCAGGAACTAGGAGTCTTAGGGTACAACGGTCTTCATGTTGAGAGTTGTCTGATCATGGATAAGCTATAGCTAGGAGCGGGGGAAAAGTTGGGATGGGCCTCCCTT